ATATATATATATATATATATATATCTATATAAAAATCAAACTGCAGTAACGCCTGACTAATTATCCTCCAGATATAGCCAATCAAAAATTATTTTTAAAAATTCTATTTAAAAAAATTATATAATCTTTTTGTTGTTGTTGAAATCATTTATCATTTATTTAGGCTTTTTTAAATATATATATTACAAAGGACCACGGACAACATGTTCACATTTCCGATCTTTTAAATACTCTTTAGCAAAAATAGTTTCATAAGACATGAAATAAAGTATAATGGATGTGTAGATTTAAAAAGTTAAATACAATAGATTGCATGAGCATAAAACATTAGGATTAAAGATTATTGAAGCTGTTTAGAAAAAATAAGGATAATAAACTCTTTATTAGGAACTGTAATATTTTAATAATGAAATAAGAAGTTATTTCTTATTTAAATTTTAAAAATCTATTTTTTTCTATAAACAAACAAAAATTATATTTTAAATGTTTTTATTACAAGCTGTTTCAAATAAAAAAATCGAAACACTTCAAAATACCTTAAAATGTTTTCATTTTATATAAAAAACAATGTTAGCTCATCTTGTAAGGAACTTTAAAATGCTCTTTATTTTGATGAACTGCAAATACATTTACTGTATTTATTTTAACCATTTCCGAACGATGACCGGCTGTGGCCAGAGGGGGCGCTGCTTCCTGAAAAGGCACCTTACTTTCAACCGGAAACAAAATAAAACTTGACATTTCGTCAAGCAACATGGTGACTTGCAGTGACTTGTCATGCCGAATGGATAACAGAGTCTGGTTTGGAATAAATTAAAGTTTTTTTTATTTTTACTGAACTGTTTTCCGGGCGAACTGAAGGTCTATTTTGTCTCGTAAATACATTGTTGAGTGGCGTTAGCTCATGTTAGCATTAAAGGCTGTTAGCTCATGTTAGCATTAAAGGCTGTTAGCTCATGTTAGCATCAATGTCTGTTAGCATGGCAGCAGCCTCCAGAGGGAAGGTCAAGTCTTTAGTCGCTGTCAGCCGGAGACTGTCCACACAGCAGCCCATTTCTTCGGACTCTTCTCCGGACGATGAGCTTCATGCCGTGCCGAAGCGCAGGCCGAGAAAAGACCCCAGCACCCGCTCCGTGTTTTTTTTCCCGGGACAGGGCACCCAGTTTGTGGGCATGGCCAAGGGGCTCCTGAAGTACCCCAACGTGAGCGAAATGTTCTCCGCAGCGCAGAAGATCCTCGGTTACGACCTGCTGTCTCTGTGCCTGGAGGGACCCGAAGAGGACCTGCAGAAAACGGTTCACTGTCAGCCGGCCGTGTTCGTCACCTCCCTGGCTGCGGTGGAGAAGCTGCAGCATGAAAACCCAAAGGTCTCAACAAAATGCTTCAATAACTTTGGAAGGAAATGAACAGTAATTGGATATTCCAGCCTCTACACTGCTATAGTTTCTATCCTTTACATGATAAATCTAGCATATAATTTAAAGATTATAAACCTGCGTTGTTCTCTAAATTAATTTGAAGTCTTATTTAGAGTAAAAAGCAAAGTCACTTTATTTAAAATGAATTTACCGGTATTTACTTAAATAGCAGTTCATAGCAAATGTGAACTAAAACTAATTATGGCTAATAATAAGTCCTAATTTGGTTTGAGACTGTGATTATATAAGGATTTTAAATATTAGCATCTTAAAAATATATATAATTTCTTAGATAAATATTGGGTATTTGACTTGTCAGACCTCCGAGCAGCTGTCAAAGAATAGAAGAACACCCAAGAAAAAGTTTAGTTGTTCTCATTAAACCTAAACAGGTTTATTGCTTGTTTTTTTGTAAATTGTTGACTTTTGTATTTGACCAGGAGCAGTTCAGTGTTAGGACCTAGAACTGATTTTGCTTATTTAATTTATAAATTCGTGAAGAACTGCGTTGTAAAAAAAGTGTTTACAACTCTTGTGTTTAGTTTATTATTAATAAAAATGGAGATCTTTTAAATTTAGAGGAAAGAACACCCAATTTTTTTTAAATGTTTTTTGTTAAGTTTATGAATTTTGACATCTCAGCTGTAATAAACGTGAATAAATTCTATTTGTTTTTGCTCTACATCTCTGTCCACAGGCCATTGAGACATGTGTCGCTGCTGCAGGTTTCAGCGTTGGCGAATTTGCTGCTCTTGTGTTCTCGGGAGCCATGAACTTTTCAGAAGGTAAACAGAGGACACCATTTTTTCCAGTCGTAGTTAAATAGCACAAAAAATAAGGATTGCTCGCATTTCTTTTTCCTGCAGCTCTGAGGTTTTAGCATGTTCAATATCAGGGTGAATTGTCCACAATATAGTTAACGATTCTTGTTCTCTTTACTTTTATGGCTCTAGCTCTGTATGCAGTGAAGGTCCGTGCAGAGGCCATGCAGGAAGCCTCTAAGCTGGTCCCCAGTGGGATGCTGTCAGTCATCGGCAAACCTCAGGCTCAGTATAAATATGCCTGCCTGCAGGCTAAAGAGCACTGCAAGAGTCTGAGTGTTCAGGAGCCTGTTTGTTCTGTGGCCAGCTATTTATTCCCTGATGGCAGGGTCATTGCAGGACACCAGCAGGTGAGGAGCATGCATGACAGAGCTCCAAAGTTTAGTTCTGCATTTTTGTGATAGTTTTCATCAGAGCTGTGTTGTGTTCCCAGGCTCTGAACTTCCTCCAGCAGAACTCGCGGCATCTACAGTTCTTGAGGACCAAACCCGTGCTGGTCAGCGGTGCTTTCCACACCAAGCTGATGACATCGGCTGTTGAGCCCCTCAGAAACGTGCTGAAGCAGGTGGAGGTCAGTCAGCCGTGATTTCATGAAGGAAACCCACGTTGTTTTTCTGAGTTACACTTTTTAATATTTATGGTCTGCTAGCAAAGACTTTGTTTTGCCTCAGTGTTTGTAAAATACTTTGTGAACCACAGGATGGATTTTTTTTTAGCAACTCAGAAAGTAAATGCTCTATGTACGTCCACAACTGATTGTTTGGAGTCAACCTCATTCAAGATGATCGCCACAGCTAAGCAACCTTAGAAAACACAAAATATCTTTTTGTCAATTTTAGAGATATTTAGCTAAAATTGGTCAGTTATCTGAGAGTGATCCTCAACACATACTCCAACATATCACATATCTCAGTATTGTTTGAGATGGCTCATACAAATTATTATCTCTTTACCTTGGCAACTCCTCATCATGAGCAGCTCTTTGGTTAAAACTTTGGAATTAAAGGCAGCTAGTGATATGCATTATTTCAAAGATTTTTAAACCTTTGATTTATTCCCCAAAGTTTTTTTTATTTTGAGAAAATGGAAACATCGGTCTTATTCTGTTTTAAAGGACCCTGAACAATCAGTTCTTTTTTCTTTTTGTACATAAAGAAAAATCATGTTTCAAAGCTTGTTACTTCACATATTTGTGGAAAAGTATTAGTACATAAATTGATTTTTTTTTTTTAGGTATTTAGTCTGTAAGTCCCCATGGATGAGCTTAATAATTGATTAATTTTTTTTAAAAATGTTGCCATCCAGGTGCGACGTCCTGAGATCAGCGTCCACTCCAACGTGGACGGCAAACGCTACATGAGCGAAAGCCACGTGCGCAAAAACCTGCTAAAGCAGCTGGTGTCGCCTGTAAAGTGGGAGCAAACGCTGCACGAGATCTACGAGAGGTCGCAAGGGGAGAACTTCCCTCAAACGTACGAGCTCGGGCCTGGGAAGCAGCTGGGCTCCACGCTTCAGATGTGCAACAGGAAGGCCTTCCAAAAATACAATTATGTGGACATCACCGCAAATGAGGAGGAATGAAGAATCGGGCAATACGAAAAAATAGACTCTAAAATTGTTTCTTAAGATCTTGAATGTATGTTTTTTAAATTAAACAAGGCAGTCGTCGATCGTCATTTTGGAGTTTATTTGCATGAAAAAACAAGTTTTCTCAAATCTGCAACAGAAAGTCCAGCTCCCGTCCTTTGTCATAAGCAAAGCTACATGTCATTCGTAAAAAAATCTCGGCCTCTTAAACCAGTAAGAAACTACTAAAGACTGCAGGCCAGCAACAGTCCAGTCCAGGTTATGTTGAACGTAATACAACTGTGAATCAACCGTTGCTACAAAACGTTGGCAAACCTTACAGGCAACATTGTAAATCTGATTTAACCAACTCCCAGCTACTGCCCTTCAGTTTCCTGATGTCCGCTTCCTTTCGTGTTGCCCGGGAAGTTGTCCACAGTCACCGTCAGCTCGTTAAAACCGTTTATATGAAACAAGAGAAATAATGACTAAAGAGCAGAAACCAAATCAGCGATAATTATTTTCAAACGTATAAAGGATTGCTCGCGGCCTCGTTAGGCTCTCTCTTCCATCCACAGCGCACCGAAAATGCCGGCTGCAGCCAACGTCACGATCACAAGAGCTCCTCCAGTCCAGCCAGGGCAGGACACTGGTTTGAAGCTGGACTCCTGGAAAATAACAAAAAAAAAAAGTTACATTATTTTTCTCATTTATACGATACAGGAAGATGCAAAGAGTTGGACTCGGGACAAAAACTTTTTATAAGAAGCTGAAATTCTGTGAAATAAAGATGGAGAGACCAAGACCTCAACTAAAATATATATATTTTTTAAATAGAAGTTATATACTGCAACTTTAACTTTGCTTTTGAATTAATATATCAGCTTTTATACATTTTCAAAGCTACATAACAAAGAAATCAGACATTCAATGGCCTAACTTCATTGGAAGCAGTTTCATCACATGCCAAGCCTTAAAAAACTGGCAAAACGCTCTTCATAAGTTCAAACTCAAGACTATAGATAACCGTATAGTTGCACAGTGGTTTCAGTAAAGTAGATGTACACCTAAAATTACATAAGTGATATTAGTTACAAGTATATTCTTTGTTCTTTAAATAGCCAAATTTGATAACTAATGATATGGCAGACATCTTCACTTGCGCCCAGACAATCACTTCTCACTGTCTTTGAGTGACCATTGTTGCCAGATAGAGATGAGGTTTTCCAGCCCAAAAATCTGTTAAAAACTACCACATCACACAAAAATCCACCCAATCAATATAATGCTATATTTACAGTTTGAACATGAACAAACATCAGTACAAGCCAAGGTAATTTAACAATATGTGGCAAAACGCAACAATCCAACAAAAATCTTCCCAGAGTTCCCAGCAAAATCAGAATGAAAAATGCCCAATTAGCAGTAAACCACCCAATCTGGCAACACTGGGAGTGCGTTCAAGTGAAAGAGGGTGGGCGTGACAGCGGTAACAAAAAATGTATTTAGCAACGAGTCACATTATCGATTGGATTTGAACCAGTACGTTTTGCATCCAATAAAAACAAAGATGTTAACGAATAAACTAAACAATAATCTGGCAATTTAGTGATATTTCCACAGTTGTGGTCTTGAAACAAAATCACGAGACAAGACCGAGACCAAATGTGGTCGAGTCTGAGACAAGACTACCAAAAAGTGGTCTCGAGTCCGGTCTCAAGTACTACAACTCTATGATGAAGCGGTCCAGCACTGGCGGCAATGCGAACCAAACTCTTGCACTGCTTGTATAGAGACCCGTAGCAACGAGCCCCCAGAATGTTTCTCAATTTTAAAAAAATGGGAAGACAGTTTTTCTTCGTTCCTAAACATGTTTCTGAGGCTTTGCAGCAAAGATCGTGAAGATTAGAGACAGTTACCCAGGCTGTCAGGGCCTTGGCTCGGAAGTTCCCCTGCCCAGGCACAGTGCTCATAACCCAGGTCTTCAGCGCAGCGAACAGACCCTGAAAGCCCCAAAGCTGACTGTGCACATCCCTGCAAAGAAACCGTTCCAGTTTACTGCCAACACAAAGATTTAAGGAGATCGTTTCGGTTCCAAGAGGCGTTTTCATACCAATAGATGGTTTGCGTTAGAGACTGGGCAGGTCTCAGCAGGTGGAGAGGAGTCGGTGGCTGGTTTGGATCTCTCCCGGCCCACTCCCGGTCCAACTGGTCTCCGATCACAGCCAGGTGACGGCCAATGACCCTCGCAGCCGCATCCCTGATCCTGAAGCAGGAACAGACAGGAATGTGTTCTCTTTAGTGGGACAGACGATGAAGATTGGGACAGTGTTTGTTGTTGGGGAATACGCGTCCCTTGTGTGTTTAGCAGGGACACAACAGCTGTTTTGTTGTTGACAACTGAAGCGGAAACAGTTTGAACTGTACCTGAAGTTCATGTCAAACGGGGCGCTGGTGTCCGCCTGCCCAGGTCCAGCCTGGAGCGTCACCACGTGATTTGAGCGTCTCGTTTGCTCGACCATTGTGCTTTCTGAGAAGAGCATAAATATGAAAAGTTGTCATGTTAGTAGGCGACTTCGCTACGCAGTGTGATTCTGCATTATCTCTAACGTTCACAAACAACTTGTGCAAACATCAGATCACGTGACCAGGATAGGTGGCGCTTGTGTTACCAGGGAGAAAGTCAAGGTAAAAAAAAAAAAAAAAGAGACAAACAGATCTGAAGAGATGACATCATCTTTTTCATGTCCACTTCAACCAAATTGTCTTTCACTTCCTTATGGTTTGGGACCTTTTTATGCTAAAACTGTCGCTCTAATTTGCCTTTATGACTGTAATCAAAACGTGCTCGACTCTATTTGAAGGTTTGTACCCTCCTCTGTGCACCTGACCTGAGCTCATCCCTGTTGTACTCACATCCCTTCATGCAAATGTCACATTTCCATAACTCAAATCAACCAAACGGCCACACTAAAAAGGAATAAAAAGTCACACACTCCAAATAATCTTCCACAAAGCTTCAGCTTTTTGCTTGTTTGCAGTTTCTGACAGCCAGACATCCCTGCAAATAAATGAATGGCTTTAATGTTTTTCAGTTTTGACTAATATTTGATATTATTATAATGTTTGAATATTTTTTGACTAACATTTGAAGGAAAACACCTTAAAATATAGCTCTTACTTTAAAAACCTTAAAAAAAAACACAACCAGAATACTCTGAAATGTGGACATTTGAGGCATCAGCTCGTGTAATAAAAGCCCACATCACTTTTCTTTATTGTCATAACAAAAAGATGAAGTCATCCCTCTGACCCAAAGCAAACAAAGGTCGTTTGGAAGAAAACACTTACTGGATAGAGCCTGCTATTATAATACATTTTAACATCAACATGTGTATTATACTGTATTCTGTTAAATGTGTATTTTGGCTCATATTAATCGAACAGGATGGAGTATCACGCCCTGACAGTAAACAGATGCATGAAGAGTGAAAAAGAAAGTAAAACTACCTTTTGTGTAGATTAAAGAAGACGCCGCCCTGTAATAGATACAAAAACATTGTGGTTAACGCTAAAAAGTCGTGATAAGCTGAAATTAATAATGTGAACAAGCTTGTACTCACAGCAGCGTCCTTAATCTTGTTCTCAGGTAAAATACAGTTTGAAGCCACGCCTATGCAAAACAACATCACCTGGTAGAGAGTGACCACCAGGGGGCGATAGAACCTTCACAGACACGACATTCAATGCAGATGTTGGTGATATGGAGTGTTTTTCAACACAATTTAATATTTAGGAAGTTATGCATTTGTTGCAGAAGTCTTTGTTGTTGTAAAACGAGAAAAGGCCGGTAAGCGATCTGCAGACTGGACATGTAAAGAACAGCGCCACCATATGTGACGTGAAATGTTTAAATATTCAACAGCTAGTCCGATGATGCCCCCTGCTGGCAGTGCTTGGTAATGACACGCTGCGCTGACGTCACCGCGTCATCCGTTGCTAGGTTATTTTCCCGGAAGAACCAGGCTAACCACCCAACGAAATCTTTTCAGGTTTTTTTTTTTTTTTTTTAGACATTTCCTGGTCCATTTGCTTAATACATGCCACATTATAGTATATTTTATATTTTTCATTAGGTTTTATTGGCACAGACTTGTTTCGTTGTAGTTTGACCATCCTGGGCGTTGTCTCCGGTGCGTCTCGGACCAGTAATAGCTACAGCTTGCTGGTTAATAAAACAGCTAACATGGCCGCGGTGTGTTTTCTCGTTCTGGGTGAAGCTAACAAACTGCTTTAAAGTCAGTCAGGAGTGCATGTTTGGATGATGATGTCTCTGCAGCAGCAGTCCGGGGAGGATTCAGCATCCTGCTAAAGGAGACAGTGAGACCAGCTGATGCAGGTAGCAGACCGGATATAAAGCTTAGGGGCGATCCTGAATGCTTTGGTGCAAGGTAACAGAATGCAGTTTGAGAAAAATGACTAAGAGCATTGCTGCTGTTTGCTTATCTGCTGTTCTGTCTGTGGTTTTGTGCTCCTCCTCAGTGGGAGGCACCATGGCCGGTAAGGTGAAGTGGGTGACAGATATTGAGAAATCTGTGCTCATCAATAACTTTGAAAAAAGGGACTGGATTCAAGTAACAGAGAACGAGGATTGGAATTTCTACTGGTGGGTAGAAAATCATCTCCAACAATTCTCAATAGAGCAGTTGTGTTAGGAAAGAAGGGTACATTTCATCTTTTCTACGGGTACCTTATGTTTGTTTTTGTGACAATGGATACAACAAACTAGAGATTCAAATGCAACAAGTAAATCAAGTATCTGTAACTTTTGTTGAGCCTGAAAATATCAAATGAAGCGTTTAATCCTTTTCTAATTACTTTGATGCAATTATCTGTCTTAACATGTAGGATGAGCATCCAGACTATCAGGAATGTGTTCAGCGTGGACACTGGCTACCGCCTGTCTGATGAGCAGATGGTAAACCACTTCCCCAACCACTACGAGCTGACCAGAAAGGACCTGATGATCAAGAACATCAAACGCTACCGCAAAGAGCTAGAAAAGGAAAACAGTCTGCTTGCAGAGAAGGATGAGAATGGGAAATACATTTATTTAGGTGCTCTTCATTGACACGGAGGAGTGTAGAAATGCAAACATATCTTTTCCCATGCAAAGCATTTATTTATTTATTTTCACCCTCTTTGCACAGACTTTGTCCCTGTGACGTTCATGCTTCCTGCTGATTATAACTTGTTCGTGGAGGAGTTTCGTAAGAATCCATCCAGCACCTGGATCATGAAGCCCTGTGGGAAGGCCCAGGGCAAAGGCATCTTCCTCATCAACAAGCTGTCTCAGATTAAAAAGTGGTCGAGGGACAGTCGCACCTCAACGTGAGTCGGGACACGGCTTGATATTTATTTGTTAGTGCCATCTTGCGTGTCTTTATTTCAGATTATCATCTTCTAACAAAGTTTCTGTGCAGTTGAATGGACTTTTGGTGGCAGATTGTTAGAGCTTATACAGTTTTTGCCTTCTTCTTCCAGGTTTGTGGCAGCATCCAGTGGGAAAGAGGCGTACGTGATCTCTTTGTACATTGACAATCCTCTGCTGATAGGAGGGAAGAAGTTCGACCTGCGCCTCTATGTTCTGGTGACAACATACCGGCCCCTGAAATGTTACATGTAGGCATGGAGACTCTTTCAAGATGGAGAAGTATTTAATTCACAATATTTATACATTGGAATAAATTAGTTTTGTATTTCACTGGTTTCTGCCCTGTCTCTGACTCTCAGGTACAAGCTGGGCTTCTGCAGGTTCTGCACAGTGAAGTACACCCCCAGCACCAGTGAACTGGACAACATGTTTGTTCACCTCACTAATGTGGCCATCCAAAAACACGGAGTGAGTTATAATAACTTTATTTTAGGCATCACTGAACCATCTGTTTCTACTTGCAGCTCTGCCGCATTTCTCATGTAAACAAATTCATTCTTCACAAATTCTACAACAGCAGCTTGTAGCACCCACTGTTCATTTTGAACGTCTCAAACTGCACCCCAAGCTTTTAAAGACCAAGAAAACTTGATCATCTGTTGGTACAAACTGATTAGCACTCACATAGGTTAAACTGGGACTTTGTAATTCAGCACAAAAGCAACCCCTGATAAATTCAGTTGTTTCTCCTTTTCTCCTCTGGTTCTCGCTCAAGGCGGACACATTCTCCTCTCCCTCCCATTCTCCTCTTCCTCCTGCTTTGCTCTCTGTGTGTTTGGAGCTCCTGGTACACATCTCTCGCACGAAAAATACTATTATGGATCTGGTGAGCTGGACTTTTAAACGCAATTGACAAAATCTTTTCAACAAAACCCTCTTGTCCGGCTGAGACTCACGCTGCGGGGTACATCAGGGATCTGTGGGGAGTTTAGCAGCTGATGCGTCCCTCAGCTCTGACTTAGGAGGACGCTGAAGACGTTTATATATTTTGGATTTATGATAGCAGGGTTTCTTCTTTTTGGCATTGGCGGGGCTCTGTTTTATCGACGCTTGAAGAAGACTTCGGCAGCAGTTTCGGCCGTGGCAAAGCTTCCAAGTCTTTGCGAAGATTTGGTTCGTGCTATGAGGACTCAAAATCAGCTGATTTATGAGCTAAACCGTAAGATGGAGGCGATTTGTGAGAATCGCAGGCCGCCTGCGGCTTCTAGGACTCGCCAGCATGTTGGGATCGACCTTGAGGAAGGCTCATGACACGGATCAGTGGAGTGAAATACCCATAAATCTGGCCATTTTGTAACGGGAAAGTTCCAGCAGGACTCGAGGCTGACAAGAAAAAAACAGTCTGCCTGAAGAAAATCAACAATTGTGGCTTATCTGAATCTGGCTCCCCCGTTTGGCCTTTCATACGAGCTGGCTATCAAATTTCTCCTGGGACATGGTTAACTAGGGACAAGGCTTTGTTTATCGCGCACCCCCCGAGAACTTTTGTGCAGACTTATCTGAAATGCCGGCTGAACAACAATGTCAGGACTGTGGCCTATCTGAAAGTGCTCACGGACAAATCTCAACGTCTTGACGTCAAATGCATTATGTAATCATGTCTATAAATGTGCTTGCTGGTAGAGTTTTCAACGTCTCAAACCGTGTCCTGACAGGACAAGATGTGAAGAGATCTTTTTTGTAATACCACTATCCATCCTCATGGCTCTTACCTTTTTCTATCTAAAAGTATTCTGATAAAGAATAAGGGGCCGCGCTATTATAGCAGCAGCAACGTGCACTCCGCCCATCTTGCGGACGACTGTACGAACATAATTTCATTGTATCCCAGTACAATGATAATAAAGCTTATTCTGATTTTCTTGAAGGTAAAACGTACTGTTATGATGTGAATCAACACATAAAGCATTTGGCTTCCAGTTTGACTGAGTTCTTATCTGCAGGACGACTACAACCACGTTCACGGAGGCAAGTGGACAGTCAGTAACCTGCGTTTGTACCTGGAGAGCACCAGAGGGAAGGAAGTGACAAACCGACTCTTTGACCAGATCCACTGGATCGTGGTGCAGTCGCTGAAGGCCGTAGCAGTAAGTTTGTGTGGTAATGAGGTATTTTTACTCCAATTTGACTTAGGATGAAAAAATACAATATTAATCAAGTTGTTGCGGTTTGCTGTACTCAATATAAACTATGACTCTTTCAGCCACGCAATTGAGAAATATCTGTCTTTTCCACCACTAAAAACTCTAAACCTCTTAATTATAAAACAACATTAGCATATGGTCATAGGGTCTGTTATCATTTGAAGTGAGCCAGGTGGAGTACGGTGAGTTTCAGAGTTTTTTCCCTTCTGAAAACGGATCGAAACAGAGATCGAAACACAGCTTGGTAAAACGTGTGTGTTTATCACGAGGCAGATTGATTTCAGCAGCACAACTCTGTGAAATAAATAGCTGCAAAACCACCTGTGTCTTTATCGTAGTTTCAGCACACACTGTAATGCTCACTTCCTTTTTCCTCTTAAGTGATCAGTTCCTTCCTTTCAATGCTGAGGCTACTCTGTGTGCTAACAGCTCTGACTATTTATACTCTGATTATTTGCTAACATCCTTCCGTGATGAATCCGTCAGAGTTACATTAAAAAGAAAAAAACTTTCCAATCTATTCAAATCTTTCTAAGACGCATTTATCTGTTCTGCCTTTTTGTTTTGCAGCCTGTAATGAACAATGACAAGCATTGCTTTGAGTGTTACGGGTATGACATCATTATTGATGACAGGCTGAAGCCGTGGCTTATCGAGGTGAGTGAATTAACAGACAACTTGTGCGGCCACCCTAAAAACCTTTCATCACTAAATACGTTGATTGTTTTAACACACATTATCAGTAAAAGTTCAAAACTTGACGCTCTTATGTTGTAATTTATTTGCCTGGATGTTTGGGCTTACGTCAGGACTCCATTGAGATTCGTCCAGTTGTTCATGAGATATTGTGCTAACAGACACTTTACTCCAAATAATTAGCATTTTAAACAAAGATCTGTTAGCTCTATATGTGTTAGTGATGCGTCTTAGCTGTTACCGCTCCAAATTTTAGGTCAATATCTGTCAATTTGACTGAGTCAGAGCAATTTTTGTGTTGTGGCGGCCATCTTGAATGACTTTGACTCCAAAAGTGAATCTGCTGTAGACGATTACTCTCTAAAAGTTTCATTAAATTACATCTATTAGTTGTTAAACTTATTTAGCTAATCACACACACATACACACCAAGACATGAGCAAAAAATTTTATCATCTGTTCATTGTCGGTGGGCGATGTTGAACTTTGTACAGATGTTTAAAGGAGAATATTTTACCATAACCCGTCCTCCTTAATAAAATGTGCTCTTTTTTGACTAGTTTGTTTATAGTTTTACGTTTTCATAGCAAATTCACATATGTTTTCCATTTTTTAACATCTGAATAATTTTAAATATCTCAGTTACTTTGACCATGTGTCTTCCTGTCCATATATGCGGGCTGAAGGTTTGACCGTTACATTCAAGCTCCCAGACCCTGCTGAACTGGAGAAGAAAGCATTTGTAAAACAACAGATACGTCCAATAAAAGCTGTTTGTCGACGGGTTGTTTTCCATCTGTACACAGGCTACGAACCCATTGCACTCGTTCTGACAGCTGCACAGTGTTTCCAGGTTAGGGCTGAACTATTTCTGTTAACAGACACCATTTGGATCTATTCTGGGCGATGCAACGTTGGTTATAGGACAGAAACGTTCCTCTGTGACGAACACGTTCCAGAAACCGAGTCAGAGTGGCCATTTTTGCTTTCATCAATCCTTCAGCATCCCGTGTTCAAAGTCAAGAAAATAAGAGTTAAAGTGAAAAATATAGAAAGTAACATCTTACGTCTACTTGTGGAAGCAAGCGTATGTTGAGTCATCGCTTCATCTCTTTATGATGTTTAATGTGCACACAGCTGTTGAGCCACATTTCCTTTCACATTCTCTGTAACAGCAGGAAGAACTAGCGCCTGTTCAGATCCTGTGCTGCGTTACTAATCACCACCCATTAGCTGCGAGTCGAATGAAATGTAAATGTAAATCTCTTTGTCCTCAGGTCAACGCTTCGCCCTCGCTGACCTCCAGCACGGCGAATGACCGTATACTCAAATACAACCTGATCAACGACACCCTAAACATCGTTGCGCCCAACGGGGAGCTCCCGGACTGTCGCTGGAACCGCAGTCCGCCCAAAGAGGCTCTGGGCAACTATGAAGTCCTGTGAGTGACTTTCAGAACCATCTGCCATACTCCGATGCTCTCAGAGAACTCTCAAAGAGAGACACACGGGAGATAAAAATATCAGTGCAGTTAGTTTGCTTTCACAGCTGTTCTCCCTGTGGACTGGAGGACTGTAAGTGGAGGTCAGTGGTTCTGGTCTGGCTCACTGGAGGGATTTTTAAACGACAAAATAGTTCACATACCTTGCATGTTCAGATATTCCTTTTTTGATAAGTTTAGCTGAAATTATTTATTTCGGGCTTAAAAGAAAATTATGTTGTGTTTTGGGGAGAGGCAGGCCTTTAAGCCCCACATTGCTAGTGCACAGACTCTGGTTCTAAAAATACATCATTGTAGCTCCGGTACGCTGGATCCTGCTGGCTTTAATTCCCAAAAACCAGGAATCTCAAATCATGGCTTGCTCATTTTAAAAGACTTTATTGTATTTTGCTCATTTGATAAAGTGGAGATTTTATTCTTTTTAAGCTGCTAGTCCAAATCAGACACCAAGGAAAGAGTTTTGCAGATTGAGTTGTCACTATATTAAAATTTCATACACAATATCAATTTTAAATTAGATACTTGATGCTTTGGGCTACGTTTGACTCTGCGGGGAGTATAATTATGAAGTAATAATTAAAAAGTAATAAACTGCTCTGCTAACCAGCAATGTTCAGTCAGTTCATCTGTACAGTTTCTTTGTTGCTGAGATGTTTCGTCCTTCATCCGAAGGACTTCTTCAGTCAAACCAAACTGAATCCCACAAACAGCACGCTCTCAGAGTGGGAATAAAACCAGTTTGCCGGTGAAAAGATGGCTTCTGGGGCCCGCCGTCTTCCCCGTCAACTCCTCTAAGGCAGACCATGCCAAAGTGGTTCAAAACACCAAAGTTAATGCTCATTAATCCAGTTATAAATCCAACAATGTTCAAAAAGTCCTTCGGATGAAGGGTGAAACGTCTCAGCGACAAAAGAAGCCATCTAGATGACCTGACTGAACAGTGCTGGATTTTATACCGGGACTAATGAGCATGAACTTTGGTGCTCTAGACTAACTTTTTTTTTAACTAGCAGCTCTGGTGCTCCTTTATAAAAACATTTTTTTAAATCACACAAACAAAAATTAGGAGCTCTACATTAAGACTTAATAACTTTTTGTCAACTTGATCACATCATTGACGACTGAACGAGCCCTCTACACCAAGTCAAGTTTGAAACGGCAGCCCAGGATTTAGTGTTTTCTTTTTTGTTGTTGTTGTTGTTTGTTTAGGTATATCTCTGTTTATAAGTCAGATGATTGTAGTCAGAGTGCTCTAAAACACGTCAGTAAAATTATGTGGCTTTCCCACCACAGTGCACCGCTCTACTGTCTGAACTATCGAAGGCCTATGTCTGTTGCCTCTCCTGTATCTAATGATGACGCATTCAGACAGACGTATTCCTTCACAGTGTGATGTGCGAGGATTGTTGAAGACAAACACCTTGTTTACACACCTCATATTAAAGCTCACAGGAGGAAACGGGAACCCTCACACACTCCACTGCCTCTCTGTTTGTCATCAGGTACGACGAGGAGCAGGCGCAGAGCGAGAACGCTGAGCGTGACCTTCGGAGCCGCTCAGGTCAGCCGCTGGGTTCAAAGGGCGCCAAGGGGAGTGCCGGCGTTCGCCCCGCTGCAGCCACATGGAAATGACGTGGACTCATGACTTCCTGAGCAGCACTGTGGGTCAGAAACTCGGGGAACGAGGAGTTAAACATGGACCACACCTTTTTGTTTTTACCCTTACTTTGACTGTGACACAACAAACACAAACGTGTTTAAGGTTATTGACTGCTGGCACCGATACTTGATCAACCACAAAGGTGCTAACAAAAGGACATTATATGTGGAGATGAGTTTAAGAAAACAATAAGAGCTCATGAAAAAGAGTGAAGATCATAGATTAAAGGTCCAGGTGATATAGGATTAGCAGGACTAAATGGCGTTGCACCTTTTTAAAAATTCTCATTGTCAGTAAAAACATGTTGAATTTAACTAACTTTCAGTATTGGAAAAAAGCCTATTTTATTTATTTATTTTTGCTCAAATATTTATTCATTATAAGAATGACAAGTTCTATTTTCTAGTTTGCAATTTAACTTATTCCCATTTTAAAGATGATTGTGTTCGGAGGGGACTTTTATGCACCTTTACTGTTTATTTCCTCCACTCACTGACACATTAAAGCACTTTTTATGGGTAAATCCAACTTTTTAATACTTTCAAGAGGGACTAAATGGTACTATGTGGGGGATCAACCAATATATGTCATTAAGTCATGGTGTTTTAAAACAAAAGACAGATCTGCTGCACACAGACTTAATCTTTAATTTTCTCTTTGGCATGTTCTGATTTTATCATTGATTATTGTGCTAATTATCATCTCAGCTGATTGATGTGTAGGAATGACAGTGAGGCATTTTTCTAAGAAAACAATGAACTTTAAACTAATTAAACAGTGACTCCCTTTGTTAAAGGCATGGATTAATTTATTCTTGGCCTTCAGTAATCAGACAACAGTTGTGATTGTCGGGGTCAGATCAATGACGTTCATAAGATCCCCGAACGAAAGAAAAGTGCGGAAAAGTTTTTACAACCTTACAAGGATTAAAACGAGCTGTTGATTCTGACTGTATCGTTCAGCCCTGCCTTAACAAAGAAACACATCTGATGTGTGGGATTAAATTACTGGAATATACTCCGTGTTTGTTAAACATTGGATTAACTATAACTAGAATTTTCTAATTTTTTTACAATTTGCTATTCTTTTAAAATGACAGATTTCTTGTTGTTTTACTCAAGTAAAGTCTTTGATGAACGATTCTGTGGCATTTAAATTAATAAGAGGTTAGTCTCAAAAAGCAAATTCCTTTTAGTTTGTTCTGCACTGTTCTTTGTTAATAAAAGCTTGATTTCACTTTCAAGATGTCTCTATGTGCTGGTTGGTGACCTCAGACCAAAAACTCCCACTGAAGCCTGAGACAGAAGCTGCACATCCACCTGTGGGGCTAAACTTTGTGAGAAACTGTCATTTAAAGGAACTGAGTATCTGCAGGTTGTCGTTGGTGTGCTCACAAATGCTGTAGATAAATATGTCTTGCTTTGCAGCTGTGACCTCTTCATTGAGCGTGTGTTTTCAAGCCGTGGTTTCCTCAGGAGTAAAAATGGATGCAGGTTTGGGTATCAGCGTAAAGACGACTGAACACAAAGGCACATTGCACTTTTCAGATCATTATTTGTAACAAAACGTTGAAGACCACGTATACAGGTGCTGGTCATAAAATTAGAATATCATGAAAAAGTTGATTTATTTCAGTAATTCCATTCAAAAAGTGAATATATTGCATTCATTCATTACACACAGACTGATATATTTCAGATGTTTATTTCTTTTAATGTTGATGATTATAACTGACAACTAACGAAAACCCCAAATTCAGTATCTCAGAAAATTAGAATATTACTCAAGACCAATAAAAAAATGATTTTTAGAAATGTTGGCCAATTGAAAAGTATGAACATGAAAAGTATGAGCATGTACAGCACTCAATACTTAGTTTTTGCTCCTTTTGCCTGGATTACTGCAGCAATGTGGCGTGGCATGGAATCGATCAGTCTGTGTCACTGCTCAGGTGTTATGAGAGCCCAGGTTGCTCTGAGAGTGGCCTCAGCTCTTCTCAATTGTTGGGTCTGGTGTATCACATCTTCCTCTTCACAATACCACATATATTTTTTCATGGGGTTAAGGGCAGGTGAGTTTGCTGGCCAATTAAGAACAGGGATACCGTGGTCCTTAAACCAGGTACTGGTAACTTTGGCACTGTGTGCAGGTGCCAAGTCCTGTTGGAAAATAAAATCTGCATCTCCATAAAGTTGGTCAGCAACAGGAAGCATGAAATGCTCTAAAACTTCCTGGTAGACGGCTGTGTTGACCTTGGACTTCACAAAACACAGTGGACCAACACCAGCAGATGACATGGCACCCCAAACCATCACTGACTGTGGAAACTTGTCACTGGACCTCAAGCAACATGGATTCTGTGCCTCTCCTTTCTTCCTCCAGACTCTGGGACCTTGATTTCTAAAGGAAATGTAAAATTTACTTTCATCGGAGAACTTAACTTTGGACCACTTGGCAGCAGTCTAGTCCTTTTTGTCTTTAGCCCAGGCGAGACGCTTCTGACGCTGTCTCTTGTTCAAGCGTGGCTTGACACAAGGAATGCAACAGTTGAAACCCATGTCTTGCATTTGTCTGTGTGTGGTGGTTTTTGAAGCACTGACTCCAGCTGCAGTCCACTCTTTGTGGATCTCCCCCACATTTTGGAATGGGTTTTGTTTCACAATCCTCTCCAGGGTGTGGTTATCCGTATTGCTTGTACACTTTTTTCTACCACATCTTTTCCTTCCTTTCGCCTCTCTGTTAATGTGCTTGGACACAGAGCTCTGTGAACAGCCAGCCTCTTTAGCAATGATATTTTGTCTCTTGCCCTCCTTGTGCAAGGTGTCAGTGGTCGTCTTTTGGACAACTGTCAAGTCAGCAGTCTTCCCCATGATTTGTGTAGCCTATACAGAACTAGACTGAGACCATTTAGCTGACTAGAGTGGCACCAGAAACTTTCACAATATTCTAATTTTCTGAGATACTGAATTTGGGGTTTTCATTAGTTGTCAGTTATAATCATCAACATTAAAATAAATAAACATTTAAAATATACCATTCTGTGTGTAATAAATTAATATAATATACAAGTTTCACTTTTTGAATGGAATTACTGAAACAAATCAACTTTTTCATGATATTCTAATTTTATGACCAGCACCTGTAATTTTCCATCCACTTTAGTGTTGTGTGCTCATTTGCGTTGGTCCATCACATAAAGTGAAGTTTCAGGTTTGTGGTTGTACAGTAACGTGACAAAATGTAAAAAAGTTTTCAACTTTCAGCATGTCTTGTTTGTTCTGTTATTTACTTTCTACATGAACCTTTGTGCCCCAGGTGCATCAGCTGCTTGCATGTGTCATGCTTGTTTGCTAAACTCTGCACCACCATGGTAAGAACGTTCATCCTTCATCCAAATATTAAAGGGTTTGACAAAATAATAGACAAAAAGCTGAAACGTAATTAGATGTTGGTATTTATATTTTGTTCAGAACAAGATTTTGGAATTGCCTCTGTTGTGGTCAAAGTAGCTTAAAGTTTAGGTTAAGTGTGATTCTGCTGGTTCCTTGTTTTGCTTCTCCCTTGTAAAATCCTCTTCCGGATCCTCGAGGCCCCCCAGCCTGAAAAAAAAAGTTTGCAGGCGCGTTCTTAGGCGCGTGTCCTTAAATCCTGCAAACATTTGACTTCTCCACCAGTGGACATTTCACAATAAAAGCTTGACACCTGCTTGTTTTCACCATTTAAGGTTTCCTTCCAGAAATAAACTGTCATTCACATCCTTTTAACCCCTATAGTGTTTTGTGGTCTGTTGACTAAGTGGAATGGGTGTGTGTATAGTGAACATTGGACTTAAATTGGAAAATTGTGGGATAATTATTTTGAGACGTTAAAGGGTGATATGCTCAGTCTGAAAGAAAAGTTGCAAACCTAAAAAAGCATGTCAACATACTATGTAGGATGGCATACAGCAAATAGTTTGATATTTGCGCTTTCTACTTTTTTTTTAACATTTACTTCACATTATCATGCACTTGGAATCCCATAGCAACAAAAAGAAGTTCATTGTAAATGTAAATAGTAGCTTAGTAACCAAATACACATGATCAAAGCTAACAAGTCAGACTCTACATACATGTAATATATTTAATACATTTAGTTTAAATAGCACAGAAATAGAGGGTTGTACGGCGACTCAGTTGGTAGAGATGTTGCCTCTCAGTGAGAAGGTTGCTGGATCGAATCCTGGTCGAGGGTCTTTCTGGTGAGTTGCACGTTCTTCCCGTGCATGCGTGAGTTTTCATCTGGTACTTCAGGTTTCCTCCCACAGAGCAAAAAACATGCATGTTAGGATGATTGGTAACTAAATTGGCCCTAGGTGTGAGTGAGAGAGTGAATTGTTGTTTATGTGGCCCTGTGATGGACTGGAGACCTGTCGGGTGTGTCCCCTGCCTCTTACACAGTGGATATGGGCACCAGTGACCCCCCCTGCAACCCTAAAAGGTAGAAGCATCAAGATAATAGATGAATAGAACAGAAATAGGACAAATCTTTCAATTTAATAAAATTACAAAATAACCAAAATGAAGAAGTACGTGCTCTAATGCATGTATCGGTTTCAAATGCATAACTATATATACAGTACAACCACCTTTTTTGTTACTGTGAAGAAAAATAAATGACCTCATAAATTAAAAACGCACATTAGTGTTTTATATTGAAAATCCCATACCGGATGTGGGCCGCCTCACTCTGGGTGACGGAAAGTTGTCTCGCGCACCGTCTCGCGCTGTCAGTCAGTCGTTCGTTGGTGCCGCTGCAGAGCGGATTAACGCTCAAAAGATTTGAAACTTCGCACCACGGAGGAGAGCAGCTCTCTAAATCGGTCCAAGTTTTTAAAACCAAGCGATAAACCCATTCGAGGTAAGTTTACGCCGGTGGTTTTTACGTGAAACTTTTGTTTCAACTTTTTTTTCTTAACTGTTGGGCTGTGGCTACTACTTGGAGCTAACTTGGGGGCTAACTGAAGGAACTTGCCTGGATAGATAATAATTTACAACAAAAAAAGCTCGAGTTGACTCAGCTTTTTGGGACTAATAGTGCTGTTATTAGTGGAAAATGTAATTTATGTGATAAGATTCAACTAAAAGTTAAAATTTCGACTATGAGCTTCCCGTGATGTAGTTATTTCTGAATAGTAACTGGCTTGCACTAAATTTCCGGACTTTTAGCTGGTGTATTGTAACGCAGCCCAAGTCCTACTTTATTATCATTTCAAACTTTAGCTGTGTTTAACTTTGCAAAGCGATACTGGCGTTTGGTTCCTCGGTGTGATGAAGGGCGGGGCACGTTTCGCAAAGTAAAGATAACCTCCCGGTTCATGGCATATCATGCTCCACTCAAAACATTGCAAAATCTGACCATTTACACGGACTTATCTTCAGCAGCCTGGTCATTATAGGGCTTACTCAAGCTCCCTGTTCAGCTCAATCTGTGCTCAAATTTGCGCAGTGACAGCAGGTTGCCAAGTCCAGTCTTCCCTGCAGTATTATACATGTAATTTAAGTCATAAAATGGGTGTTTTAGGGGTTAAAGCACCGGTAATCCCTTATAGTAAGGTGACAGGGAAGCTGACCTATTTTAAAGGTGATAGTCATGATATTATGAGTCAGTGGAACAATCACTCACCATGCAGCTGCAGCATTTAGACATGTGCAGTGACTAACAGGGATCAAAGTTTTTCTTTACATTTTTTGTAGGATTGTTGTCAGGGTGAAGCAGTAGTGAAAATGTAGAGTTCCTGTTTTTTCTAGGAGGCTGTGAGAACTGATACTTCTGTGATAGCATTCAATTAAACAGCGGGTGCGTATCACAGTTTTCCATTTCTACACTAAAGCCATTTAAAGAGATGCGTTCAAAGCCAGAGCTCGGAATAGAAACTTTTGTTTTTACACACGGTTAAAACGTCTTAAAACAGTTTGCAGATGGTTTGTGTTTGTACAGTGCCTCGCAGATGTCTGCAGCCTGAACTACAACGAGCGAGGGGCTTAACTTTTAACACAGGAAGAAATTTCACGTTGCTCCTCAGCTATGTTGGGATCACCCCTTCCCTTTCATGTAATATTGTATTTCCCTCCATTATGTTCTCCTCCATGCTCTTGGCATGGTCAGTGGAAAGTATCTGAAAGTGTGGAACAACCCCATTGTTTTTCCACGTTCATGGGACAAGATGGGCTGCAGCGGCCAGAGTGGTCTGTTATGTTGAGTCTATGGTTAACCTGATGTCAAAGGACCACTAGTTTTATTGCAGATTTTTTGAGGCCTTTTCTATAAGTGGTATAATCTTTTACGTTGAAGCTGAAGTTCGTAAAGGAGAGTCCACACATTAAAAAAAGGCTGTGTTCCTGTGAGATCAGCAGTCATGAGCAGCTGTTTAGCTCACACAAGGAAGGAGGGCAGGGGTGACTGACAACGGATGAAAACCAAAGGCTTGACACGTGATTGAAGTGGATACTTTTAATATTTATGCTTGTGTATGGTTTTCTTGCATAGTCTTATGTTTTAGTAGGGCTGGACGATATGGCCAAAGCTTACACGATACATTTCTTAATTTCGATCGATAACGATATAATTCTGATATCGAAATAAACAATATAAAAGACTCAGAGAAAAACTGTACAAATAAATTATTGTTCACCTTTTATTTGTATTTAAGCTTCAAAATAAAATTGAAATCACCGTCAAATAAACATAAAACTATCAACTTTGTCAATATTAATAGTTTGAACTTTAAACAACATAACCTAACCCATGCAGCACATGCAGACGTTTGCTCTATGGGTCTCTCTTTTGATACAGATGTGGGTGGTGTTTCAGGGACATGTTGGCTCATGACGTGTTCCCACTAGCTACTGGAACGACACTCCGTCACATTTTGCAATTTATCACATTTTGATAGCCTAACTACTTCTACACTGCCAAATTAGTCCTTCCTCTTTTATCAATTATGTCATCTGCTTTCTTTTTGCTTGTGAAAGCTTTTTCAGTCACATTCTGACGGCCATGGGCACTCATTTTTGAAGTGAAAACTTGCCGCGCGTTGGAGATTAGCCTAGCCTGCTACCGCTGACTCCTTCTGGACTCGAGCTCTGCGTGTGGTGTACGTCACCACACGTTTATGTTGTTGTGTTGCGACTTTTTCTGTTCAACCCGAACAGAAAAAGAAATGCGTAAGTGAAATGCTGTAATCATAACGTAATGTACATTGAAATATTTAAAATATGCTTAAAACCCATATCACCATTATTGACTAAAAGAATATCGTGATATATATCGATATCGAATTATTGTCCAGCCTTACGTTTAAGCAATGGCTTACTTTGTAATTCCATTTTGAACTGCACTCTCCTCTAAACATAGCATAGTTTAAATATTTTTTTTTTTTTTTTTTTTTTTACAAAATATCAAATAAAATGGTTAATAAAAGTCAAAATTCTAGCTGCAGAGCACAGCTAAGACCATTAAATTAATTGATAAATTGTAAAACTATCTTTTTAGTCTAAAACGCATATATGTGGGTTCTTGCCTGAATTAGGATCATTCAGACAAAGCTGATGTATTTTACTTACAGGCACTAAACATCTTCTAGGTTCTGCCACGAGTAACGATGTTTCACTACTGAATACTGAAATTATTATTTTATTACTTCACAACACATTTAGCAACGACGTTATTTACAAATGTGAAAAAAAAAAACCAAGAAAAATTAAACAGAGCTCTTTCTTTTTTTATGGATAATAAAATAAAAATAAGTTCAGTTCTTTAGCAACGTTGCTACCCCGGGTAGTGTTGTGTGCATGGAATCTTATCTGTAACCCAAGATGGATTTTCCGGATTGTGAAGGTTCTTCTGCTAAATGATGTCCCGGCTGGCCACCGTTTACACCAGTCCACAGTTCACATGGGCTCGGCTCGCCATCACGATCAAAGAATCCAGAGTCACTATAAAATCAGTTGGGATTTCCACAGATAATTCTCAATGAGTGGTCACTTCTGTCACTCATAGACAGGTTATAATGTCCACAGTTGGGTCGGTCAGTGCACGTGTAAAGAGCATGCCCCAGAATATAGGGAAATATGACCAAACCACGTTGGTTAAATTCAACTCTGTAAAAATTGAGTGCCCTCTGCTGGACCCTCCCGGTATTACAATCTAAATTACAGATATGAGTCTAGTAGCCCAATGTTTCATGTGGGTTACACTGAGAAGTCCAAATTTCTACCAGGGAACAAAATAAAACACAACACCCTTCAGGAAAGCTCTACGTATTGAGCTTGTTTATTCTCACCAGCATTTGCTTATTCTGCAGTAGCGTCCTACACACTGTTAATAAAGTTTTTGTCTCAGTTGACGGGTTGGTTTCTATTTTCAACATTGGATTTGTGGAAAAAAAAAAAAAAAACTCCAGCAAAAATACATTTGTCATTTCACAAATTCAACACTGCATTATTGTGACACATCCTTCTGTGTTCTCATCTGTTCCTTTTGTATGCCCTGTTTTCTGCTTTTCACCTTTGCTCTGGGAGCAGTTTTTTTTTTTTTGGGGGGGTGGGGGGGTGGGGGTGGGTAAATAAAACTACAAAAACTTGGGAAACAAACATGGAGTGAAGAGGCAGTTGTTGGTAGGAATTAATACTCTTATGTACAATAATGTGTAGCCAGCTGACTCTGCTGCTTAGTTTTCTTGTTGCAACATTTATTGAATCTGTTTTGCCCTTGTGCACATGTTGCTGAGATCATCTTTTGTCTGTTGCTTGTTGTGACTCAGCTCTTCTCTCCGTCAGCTCTATAGTGAGCTTTTTTGCGTTTTATGACACGCAGTGATTATTTAACATTGCCTTTCTCTTTTGCTTCTTAAATACTCATACTTTAATGGTGCATACACAGGAAAAGGTTGTGTACGCCATGTTCCATGCACAGATTGGGTTGTATCAAAATGAACGTTGCATGAAAGTGTGTGTAAATCTGCAAAAAACTTTCACCTTCTGTGCGTACTGTCACACAAACTCTTGTCAACAGAATCGAACAACATAAGACCACAACTTCCTCGAGTACACTAAAATATGACTCCATTTGCTTTTCTGAACTCAAAGGCCATTTAAACGCAATGTTTTCTTGTCAATTTGAGCATTTATTGTTTAAATCTAAACAGTAAAACTGAACCACATTTAAACTCGTACAACATAGCATATACCACACCTCAAAAATAACCAAGACATCGTCACTCCAATGTAAAATGTAAAGTTTCTTACAGTTTTGACATGCGTTGGTGGGAACATGCTTCAGTGACCGCTAACCTGCAAGATGCACAGACAGATGAGCATAAAATGAGTGTGGTGCGCTTTTGAAGAAAACTATGTCTGATCATGGTATTAATTTAGAACAACTCCTCCGTGAAGATTTCTCTGGTCGACATGGTGTTAGACAAATACATGTGGCCACAAATAGCTGCACAAAATTGTGCATAATTATGAAACGATGGCAGCTTTGGTGCTACTGAAGCATCTCACCAATCGAATGGATGTTTTAAGGGACCACACCGACCTGCTGGCACACTGTGAGCCGAGCATTGTCGGTGCCATCCCAAATCCTCACTTCACTAGGGCTCCTTGGAACCAGAACCATTCAGAGCGAGCTGGTTAACTGGTATATCATAGTCCTTCTTGAGTAATGCCATGCCAGCTGTATCAGACAGCCTCATCCATGCGATGCTCTAATATATCAAATTCTCCCACACTGCGGCTGAAACGCTCCGTTGATGCACAGCTACTTGCTTCTTGACATCAACTTTCTATTAAATAAGCCTCCAAGTTATACCAAGCCCCTGAGTAACTTTGAGTCTACAGTAATTATTAAACATATTTGTAAAGTAGAAGATGTCTCGGCCTCAGAAGTGCGCCGCCGGCAGATCAGCACCCTCGAGCTCACTTAATTCATGTACAGTAACTTTGTGTGTTTCATCATATTTCATGACCTGAGTAGGTGGTGTCTGACATTATTAGGTGATGACTGGGCAGCCGACCTTCACTTCACTCAACCTTTTTATCTGACCATTTACTTTTTGTTACGTTTGTGGCGTGCTCTACTCTGATAACTGCAGCTTCATCACTTCTTTGTGCATGTGTGTCTAATACGTTTTTGATCAGGCAGAGAGGAGAATCGCACATGCAGGACATATTTGCATATTTAAATGGAGTTGTTTTAGGGGATGACTCTGATGTGCACTCAGTTTGACATTTGTCTAGATTTGTGAAGGAAAGATGTGCGCAAACATGCTTGCATACAATTTGATAAAAATGAATATTTTTGTGTGCAGGTACTTTTCCATTTTATTGTGTACGCCAGCTTTCACTATGAAAGCTGCACACTCGTACATGACGCCTTTGGCTTTTTTCTGGATTTGTTTTTCTTGATGCACAAAGTGATAAACATTTGACATGTTTACTGTATTACACTGTGAATAAAAGTGAGTTTTTGAGATTTGCATTTTTCAATCATTGCATTTTGTAATTCACATTTAAACTTTTTCCATAAGCGGGGTTGTAAATTTCAAATAGTCTCCGTCTTTGCAGTGTCTTTATCTTTATATGTCAGAGAAAGTAACAGTTTTCCTCTTTAAAACCTGTTGATCACCTGCTGATTTAAGCTCCTCTTAATAAGAAACTCAGCACTTTTCTGCCACAAGAGTCTACATCTTCTCTTTTTCTTTTGAAAAGCCAATATGTGAAAGAGATGAAACTAAAACCAAACCGTAAAGGGATTTATTGGTGGACCAGATGAATAACATGCAGTGATTAGATGACTAGCTTGTAACTCAAGCCTGTTCTGGGTGTTTTAAAATTTAAATGTGAAGCGGGGGGCGGGGGATCAAGTCACTTTTGTTAGAGTTGTAAAAACAATCAAATAATTTCCACTGAATTATTGCAGTATGAATTTCTGGCAGTAATCATGCAATTAAAATGGTTACAATTAAGACATTGTTAAATAAAAAAGTTCAAGACAAAAACAATTGGAGTTTGTTTTGTAACAGAAGACGTTTCGCTTCTCATCCGAGGAGTTTTCTCAATTCAAAGGACAGTGTAGGCCTTCGAGTTATAAAGCTGAGGTAATATGCAGATTGTTCTATCACTCTTTAGGGTCTTTATTAATCTGACTCACAGATGGGCTACTCTGGTCACGTGGATGAAACTCCTGATAGGTGCACACCTATCAGGAGTTTCATCCATGTGACCAGAGTAGCCCATCTGTGAGTCAGATTAATAGACCCTAACAAATCCCATTGTGAGAAGTGATAAGGTAACCTGCATATGTATCTAGCTTTATAACTCGAAGGCCTACACTGTCCTTTGAATTGAGAAAGCTCGTCGGATGAGAAGTGAAACGTCTTCAGTTAGAAAATAAAGTCCAATTGTTTTTGTCTTGAACTTTTTTTGAATGTACATGTCCTGGATGACTGAGAATCTTCACCAGCATTAAGACATTCTTACTGTAAGTGTTGTGAATTGTCACCTTGCGAGAGGAGGGTTTGTGTGTCTGCCTGTCTGAAATAATGTCAGCTGGAGGAGATAAAGGCAGCGATTAATCAAAAATCTTCAGGATGGATTTAGATTAACATCTAACTTCTTTATTCTTTTGAAGACTTTAACACTGATTCCATTTAAAACAACAGTCAGTCTGGTTTGTGTATGTTTTGGTTAGATATGTAGTGACAGCCTGTGTGGGAGTGGTGGGAGAGGTTGGAGAAGGTGGGCCTGTGATTGCTGGTTCAACTCCTAATACCGACAATATCAAAATGTGGGTGGGATTTGTGAAGCACCCACACCTGTCTCCACCCTCATTTACCCCACTCTGGGTCCTTGAGCAAGGCCCTTAACCCCCCGATCTGCTCCCCTGGTCACCCTAGATAGCAGCTCTCTGCTCCACACAGAGGGCTGTGGTTGCGTCAGGAAAGGCATCTGGCATAAAAACGATTGCCAAGTCTTCGTGCGACTTCCTGACGAAGGGAGCAGCCGAAAGAAGAAGAAAAAAGTAGTGACAGCATGTGAGTTTACACAACAAGCCAAAGCTCAGTTTATGCATGGGAGCCCTGAGGAATGCATTGATTCACTTCTATCTTAAGACTTTTGCCAGCACCCAGATTCCACTGTGTTTAACAGTACAATTCCTTATCGCCTTTTAGTGAATATCATTGTTGTGTTTGATTACGTAATCTCTTTAAGCCGTAATCTTAGAAACACTGCACAGCCAAGTTTGTGTAGCCTTGAAGAAATCATTCGTTTGTTGCATCTGACACATAACTCCAATGTTAGATTTTATTTTCCGAACTTCACTGCCCTGTTGTATTCTTTGAATTCCCATGTTGATCTTTTCAGCATTTCCCTGCAGAGTTTAGGATTGGGTGGACTTCAGACCGCAGCTCCATCAACAGCATTGTTTACAGTTATTATGGGTCAGGCTCCATTCAATTGTTTAAAACAGTCCCACTGTGTCAAACATAGTCGGGTGTGCAGACATTTGTTTCCATTTGCCGTTGATTATATTAGTACAAAGAACGAGAGCTTTTGTATTGAAGGAATTCCTAGAACAGTTTTTTTTTTTTTTTTTTTTTTTTTTGTGAGTTGAATTGCTCAGTTTAACTTTAAACATAATTCCATTTCTTTCATTGTTTTTCCTGACAAGAATTTTTTATATATATAATTTGGCATCATGTCCTTTCATTTATTTACACCACCCTCTTAGTGAAAAGTTCAGGAGTGTCAGAGCAACGTCACGTTTATTACTCTGAATCCTGGAGTGGTTGTCGTTGGAAATTTCTGCTCGGCAGCATTTGATGTCCACATTCACAGCTATTTAAAGGTCATGGAATCATTTTTCTGCCAGATTAATTAGTGAAAATGGCTGAGTAGTTGGTGAGTAAAAGAACAGGAACATAATAGTGACTTACAAATTGTGATATTTTTTTTTTCCATGCTACAAACTTCTGTGGATGCTGGGTGGCTTTAATCCCTTTGCTGCCTGTTAAAACTCACATATTCACCCTTCATTGCTGACTTTGTATTTCCCTATACAGACTGGGTCATAATTTTAAATTGATACAGTTTGAAGTATTGCTATTTGAAGTAAATGATGCATTAAAATGCTTTGACTACTCAGTTGTTTATTGTCAACGCCGTGATTCACGAAAAGTAAATTCAAACCTGATTTTCTCTTGAAATGATGACAGATAGCATCTGCTGTGTGTTTTTTTGCTCTTCCTTCATTTATACATATTGCTGTCTAACTGACCTGACTTTAGACTCACATAGTTAAAGGGATAATTGTCTATTTGCCTCCCCGGGCTGCGGTAACCACAAAGCTATCCCCTGTCCAAGAACCACTGAGGCCATGGGCCACTGACCAGTGATGAAGACACACAGCTTTTATCTTTTGCTGTCCTACTCTGCTGAAAGAAGCTCTGTGATGCCACTTGGCACCAAAATGTTCCTCTGTGATTCAGCCACAAGTTGATTATAGGAGTTAATAGCATGTTAGATAGTTGTAGAAATAAAATGCACAACATGATTATACTTTTTAAAATTTTGGTGACCGAATGTTTAGGTGTGAATACTTAACATCTCAAACATACTTTGAGACAAAACCAGAACCAGAATTTCACAATGTTATTTTTATTTATTTATTATGTTTTAACTTTATTAACCATAAATTCAAAAAAGGAGGTAGGACACCTTTTTGTTTTTTCTTTCAATGCTTACCTTTGGCTTGGAAAATAATTGCTTTATTAAAACGCTGGAGAAAGACAAAAGTTTTTCTTTCTTGAATTTTTTAATTTTGGGACATTGTTAATAATTTCACCTGGTTATTGCTAAAACAAAAAATGTTTCTTGCTTGTTGGATGTAAATTGCAGCATAAATGAGGATCAAAAGTTGCTTTAAGTATTCACAACTGCAAATTGTGAGTCTGAAAATCATCGTCTGAGGAGGGGAGGAAATAAGAAATTAAGTGGCGAGGATGGAGGAGAAAACTGAAGGGGGACTAAAAAGAGGAAGTGTTTGGATGGGTGCTGTTGGGCTTTAAATGGTGGACATGAGGGGAGAGGAGTAACAGAAGACCGACTGTTGTAGCAGTCCGACGGAAACGGAAGCTGCCTGCTGTGTGTCCTCAAGTCTCTTTTTCCTCCATCTCTCAAAGTAGAGGCTTTGTGTGATGCCACAAACCACTGTGGCTTCAGTTTGTTGTGTTTTAAGGCTTAAATAGGTCACAAAAAATGGGTTAAAATATCTGCTTGTTGCTAAGATTATCACACCAAACCTCCATCTTTGTCTGTGCTTGAAGGGCTAATATGAGCTTTTGTTGTTCTCCCTCATGTCTGAACTGCAGCTGTTGATCTCTGAGGAATGTTGCGATGACAGAATCAACAGTTTTTGCTTCTCGTCTTTCAGCTGCAGGTTTCATATTACAAGTTAAACGCACAAGTGTGAAAAACTGAAAGAAATGTGTGTCTTTGTTTTTTTTTTTGTGTTCAGGCTGAACATTATCAGTGCATTAAAAACTGTAGAATTGTTTTAGATCTATTTTACTATTAAAGTACTTTAATTTGTTTATTTTTGAGTATTAAATTCTGCTGCAGATGTACATTTATTTTTAACCTTCTCCCCCATCTCTTTCATAATAATCTTTTAAATCATTTTTTTCTTAAACACAGTTCTGTCCAGAAAAGTATCAACTGAGTTTACGTTGCTCAGTAATTTTAATGTAACTGTAGAAAAAACATGCATATTATTCAAGTTTGTGTGTTTTCTTTCTGTTGTTTTTTCAGGCCCAGGACACAGCAGCCATGTCGGGCGCCTATGATGACTCCATGATTGATGTCTCCAGTGATAGCTTCTGGGAGGTGAGACTTTCTTTTCTGACTGTTTCTCAATACAGATCACTTGTTTTTCTTCCATTTGAGAAAACGAGTTCCTGCAGTGTTGAGCCAAATTGTCAAGTCTGCTCCAAAAACAAATGAGCTAATAAATATCAGCAGACGTCTTTCCATCTGTACGCGAAACCTGCCGCTGTTGCTTAATTTGACATTTAGAAATAAGTTAATTTCTTTCAGGAACCTGAAAATATAAACCAAGTGCAATCCTGCCTTTCTACCCATCCTCCATCCGTCTGTTCTCTGTTGTTGATTCTCAGGTCGGGAACCACAAACGGACAGTAAAGCGTGTAGATGATGGCAATCGACTCTGTAACGATCTGATGAGCTGTATTCATGAACGCGCTCGTATTGAAAAGGCCTATGCACAGCAGCTCACAGAATGGGGAAAGCGCTGGCGGCAACTTATAGAGAAAGGTAGGAGCATAAAGCCTTGTGTCTGACACTGAAAGATGGTTTAAATATCTAAATCTCTACTTTTTATTGTTAATGAATGCATTTTATTCAGAGAGTATGTGGGATAATCTGCTCTCAGCGAAAACGTTAAATCCACATTACATGCAGAATGATGCACGATATTGGATTTTTGGCCAATATCCGATATGCCGATATGTTTAAGCTTATTTGGCTGATACCAATACAGATATTTTTTACCTAAACTTGCTTACAGAGATGACGTAGCTTTCTCTGCTGTGGAATTAAAATACATTATTCTGCATGGTCTTTGTCAGTTTGGCCTGCTACCAAATGCAGATGCCAAAATGGGGGCTGAAGATGATGTAACACTATATAAATATATCATCTATATAAAAAAGTTTATTTTATATTGGTGTTATTTTGATGGAATGTTCGATATTTAACTTTATTGCCAATATCGGCCGATACATGCTGATAATATCGTGCCTCCCTGTATATAATTATTATTAAAGTGTTGTAAATGGTAGTAAAACTGCTAAAGCTTATACTAACAGGTAACCTCTGTCTGTAGGCCCTCAGTATGGTACATTAGAGCATGCTTGGGCTGCCCTGTGCACTGAGGCGGAGAAGGTTAGCGAGCTCCACGTAGAGGTGAAATCTGCGCTAATGGGTGAAGACTATGAGAAGCTGAAGAACTGGCAGAAAGACTCGTACCATAAACAGATGATCGGTGGCTTCAAGGAGACAAAAGAGGCTGAGGACGGCTTCCGAAAGGCTCAGAAACCTTGGGCCAAGAAGTTGAAAGAGGTGGGAATTTCACCCTTCTTATGGAGTATTTGAACATTTAAAACTGATAAAATATAACAGTTTGTACTTTATACAGTACAAACAGGCTAGATAAGTTTACTGTTCACTGATTCGTCCTATTACTGTAAATCTTACCCCTCAGTTCCCATGATTACATTTCACTGACTGAACATTTTCTCACCATAACAACCTACTTCCCAAACAACAACTTCACTGCTGGTGTTAAACTAGACATTATTGTCAGACCTGAGCCTCATTGTGCCAAACGGTTGTCCTGCTTGCCTTTGAGTTAATGAAAAGGAAGGAAAGTGTGAAGGTTTGCAGGGAAACGAGGCTTTCTTATTTCAACATTAGGTCCATGTATTATCTACTACTGTGCTCATTTAGCAGCCTGTTTACTTGTCAGTTTTTGCATTCCTTTTGGTGCATGTGTGTGTGAATGAGTACCAGTCTGTTCAGAACCGCTCATGTTTTAGCCTAAAGGTCTTTCCTTCATTTCCTGTGCTTGTGACGTAACGGGGAACAGAGGTATTTTAGTTTGTGATTAAACACTATAAGAGCACAAACAGTTTGTAGTCGTACTGGTTTATTAATATCCCCAGCAGATAAGAAAAACTGATTAAAAAAACAAACAAATAGGAAATATAGCTAATGAACTGGATGAGAAATATAAGCAGTGTGTTGATGGGAAAAAAACAAACTTTTGGGTCTAGATACTTTTGCCACCATGTTGTTTTCCCACTCATAAAGTAAAGCATATATTCCTGTTAGAGTACTAGTAGTGTTCAATTGTTTCTGTGATGTGGCTGCTCTGGATTCATCCCAAATCACACCGTAGTTTGTTCAAGATATTCATCAAATAAAACCACGATGCAGTGTGCTTCCCTAACTCTTACATGGTGGAGTTTAAAAATGACTATTCTCATTAATTGTTTATGTTAAATGTGTATGTCTGAACTAACCATGTAGCACCAATAGACTAAATAAATGAATGAATGGATGCTTTTCAAAGAAGATGTCCTAAATACCCGTTTAATTTTATAAATGGTCTCTTCCTGGTTTGGTTGATGCCTCTGCACTTCCACCAATCTGTTCTACTGTACCTGCTCAGTTCATGACTGGTGTTATTTATTGATTTGTTTTATTTACTGATTGAAACTTGCAGGTAGAGTTGATGAAGAAAGCCTACCACTCAGCCTGCAAAGAAGAGAAGCTGGCAGCCAGCAGAGAAAACAACAGCAAACTGGAGAGCAACAACAACCCCGAGACCCAGAAGAAACTTCAGGAAAAAGTGGAGAAGTGTCAGCAGGAGGTGCAGAAGGTGGGCCCTCCTGTGCAACATAAAGAGGGGGGTGTTAAAACTATCAGGAGACATTTTCCTCAAACTTGTGTGTGGTTTATTTACTTTTTAGGCGAAAGAACGCTATGAGAAGAGCCTTGAAGAGCTCGACAAGTTGACCCCTCAGTATATGGAGAACATGGAGCAGGTGTTTGAGCAGACGCAGCAGTTTGAAGACAAACGGATTCACTTTTTCAAGGAGCTGCTTCTGGAGGTTAAGCGGCACCTGGACCTCTCATCTAATCCCAAGTAAGACAGCCGCATCGTCCAGGTGTCTTATCTTTCTCAATATTTATTTATTTTATTTTAAGAGATAAATTGAAAAAAAAAAAAAGTTTAGATTTTAATAATTGCTCATAAAATAATGCTTCTGTGATGTTTTGTATGTAGTTTCCAGACGGTCTATCACACGCTGGAGGACACGATCTCTGCTACTGATGTTGAAGAGGACTTGAAATGGTTCCGGTCAAATCACGGCCCCGGCATGCCAATGAACTGGCCCCAGTTTGAGGTACTGCTCCACAACTTGGATTCTTACTAATGAAACAGGACCACCTAGAGGGGCTTTGGAGCAGATCACCAAAATACTTCTAGTTTGAGACAAACATGAACAGATCCAATCCACATTTATTAATAGTACATAAGAATAAATTCATGTTTCTGTAACCAGAAAAGCAGAACACATTCTTTGAGCTCTCAGGACTAACTCTCAAAACCACCTATCAGTGTTGATACTTTAAAATGCTTAAAGAGAAATCAGTTTTCAAGAACAGCATCTATATATATATATTTGCTTTCTAAAAAAAAAAGAAAAAAAAAGATAGCCTTAGCAGGGGTTCATCTTTTTTTCATTTTTACCATTTAGATATTATGTTTGGCACTAAAAGTGGAGGTAAATCTTTCCTCAGTGGGGACCGTGGCTTTGAGAGGAATGTAATTTATTACTTTTTCCCCTGTAGAAAATAAAAAAAAACATGCAAGAAAGAAAAAAGGCTGCACCCGTTTCAATTGCTTTAATTTATGGTGCTGTTAAGTGTTCTTACAGATTTTGCTCGCATATTAAGCCACTCTTTCTTCCTGATTTTTAGCTGAAAAGACAATTTTAGAACAACTCGGACGATAGCATTTTGAATTAACTGAGTGTAGCTTGTTTGTGTTTAGCACCCCTACAAGCTTTTAGATGTTTTTCTAATGAAGATGCTTGTGCAGTGGCAGAATTGGACTGTTATGACCTTTAACCCTAACTCCACTTGCCTCCCTTTCCTCATATCTGACAGAAATTGGATTGGTCACATCTTCGCTCCTTTAAGAGAAGGTCCATTGTAGTGAGTTCTGCATGGGAGGGCTGTTGTCTCACAGCAGCAATGGGGGGATCCTACAGTCCTACTAACACCTTCACACTTTACTGCTTCCATTAATATTTGTTTGGTTCTACATGCGTTTTATTTTTCATATAATCAAAGATAATGGTAATATAGATAAATACCCATTCAGTATTCATGAATAGACAATACATTCATCTTTGCAGTTTCAGATGAACAGGTAAACCTTGTGCAATTTGGTACACACCAGCTTCCATTTCCTTTGGTAGTTAAGATGCTTTTACCACAGTTTCCTGCATCTCAATATAGCTAGGATGATGCGGCATTTTTTAACCTTTTGAATTCTGATCTTGAGACCGCCTCATTTGTTCTGTTTACGTGAACTATGCCACTTCGTGTGATTATGCCTCTTAACCAGACAGAACAATATTTTGACCTTTTAAAAGTTTGAAAGTTAGGATAACTCATTAATCCTAGATAACCACTTAAAGTGTCCTCTTGTTTGTGTTTTAGTTCAGTATGTCTTCTACAGATTACAAAAGTCATGAAGATGGATATCTGAATAGATTTATGTGATAGCATTGTAGGCGAAGGTTCATGAGATATATTAACAGACGGGCAAAGTTGACTTTAAAACTTGATGTAAAAGTTTTAAGCAAAAATATGGCGCAATGGTTAGAGCTATACTGGTTAGAGTACTAGTATGTGTTTGGGAGTGATACTCGGCTACTTCCAACTAGATTTTAGCCCAATATCTGTAAAAATGTCTAAGTTCATTGTGTTTCCTAAAGACAGAGTTGACTCTAGTAGTAACGGTGGTAGTAGTTCATGGCAACAATTTAAAGCGGGTTTTGTGCAGTTGTAGTGAACCAGATGACCTCAAATATACCAGATGGACAGAGACTGTTATTTTCATTGATCTGAATAAGTCTGAACCATCTGATGAACTTTCTTTCTTGAATTAATCAAGCAGAAAAGACAATCCTCTATAATCATTACTGTCTTACAAATGTTTTGATAATCAAATTGTGTTAGTTCACTCAATGCTTTACAGGTTGAAAAGAACTACTAATTTTTATTTTACATAAACAGTAAGTAATGATTTTTGTTCCTCATTCAGAGAAGAAATCACCTGAATATGCCTTTCTTGATTTTCTGTCTGAAATGAGCAAGCTGTCGTAAGTATGTTAAAGGTTGGTTTTCGGTCAACTAAAATGTTTACCGAGAAAAATGTCATGTTTTACTATTTGAAAAGATTACAAAGTGTGAGACTCCACGAAGTCTGCTGTTGCTGCAATAATCTTTTCTGTATGTTGTAAACAATCCTTGACTTATGATAACATCTTACGTCACAAATCCACTCCTCTTTCTGGTCCTTCCACGAATCAGAAAGCTCTAAATTGAACAGGAAGTCGACCCAAATAAAATGTGGCAACTTCTCAGTTCATTGGGGAATAGAGAAGAGAAGAATAGAGATTAGAGAATTAAGAATTCCAGAATTCCAAGAGATTGAGAGTTCATGGAAGAGTGAGAGTCCAACAGAAAAAGATTCCATGGAGAATGGAAAAGTTCTGAAGGAGTTCAGAAGAGAACTAGAGTTATGAAGAGTTTTGGAGTTGCCGAGAATCCAGGGACGTTTGGGATTATAATTCTGTTTTGAGCTAACCACGCACGACTCTCCGAGGATTTTTAGCTGTTCTTAACGGAGGCGCTGAAACAGTCTGAAGGACTCTTACTGAGCTGATCTATCGTCAAACCAGGTAAAGATTTCCTCTTCGACTCAAGTGTACCGTGGACGGGCTGAGGATCTGACGAAGCGTGCAATTTCTGGTTAAACAGATTAAACTTCCCTCACACAGTTCTCTGTAAGATAATCTCCTTTCACTCTAAAACCCACCTCTCTCTCTCATAAATCAGTACAGATATTTTAGAAATATCTTAAGCAAAGTCCTCAAATCACCGCCGAGTGATTTGAAGTTCATTTTCTGTGAAACTGTCTGTTATTATTTTCATATTTTGCCAAATTAATGTAAATGTTTGATGTTAAACTTTGATTCTGAAAATAAATGATTCCATTCATTTGATGGGTCAAAGATAAACAACGTCTCTCGTTACATTTCTGTTAAATTCAATGCACGACATTTACAGTCAGAAAAATGAAGAACTCGTGAATATTGTATGCATATATAATTCATATATTTGTCATACAACAAGTGACACGTACCTCACACGTCTCACTACACAGTCGGCATGCACTGAAGCTCGCAGTGTAAGTTAAGTATGACTCTCAGCTCCCACTCCAGATGTTAGCTCAGTATCTGCGCAATTGACTGTTGGCCTTTTTTTAATTTGCTGATGTGGCTTAGCTGTGACATCCATCTTGATTGTGGTTGATTCCAAATGTTTTATCAGTCGTAGAGGTTCATAAAATAATAATAATTATAATTATTATTATAAAGTTTAGTCTTTTTTTATTTATAACAAAACAAGACAATTCTATATACAATAAGAAATAAAATCACAAATGAAATGAAAGGCAGCAGAAAGAAGAAGAAAAATCTTATATCTGCCTCTTTATTCCAAAAAATTAATTCAAACAATAATAATCTTCAAGTAACAAAAACAAAATAAACAACTCCTTCTCGAGCAACAATTCATATAAATACACATTAAGCTATTTCATGTTTTTTTTTTTTTTTTTTAACAAATCAACTTTGGTCATTTTCTTAAACATACACATTGATATGGCATTTTTAACATCACTCCAGATTATTCCATAATCTAATTCCTTGGACTGAAGTAGACCATCCCTTCAAACTAGTTCTAAATTTAAGTTTCCCAAATATCTCTATCCCCTTAAGATTATAACTCTCTTTTAACAAAATTTAACTGGATATTTAAAGGTAATGTGTTATTATGAACCCTATACATAACTGATCAAATACTATAATCTACCAAATCAAGGAACTTCAAAAACTTCAACTGATAAAATAATGTACTTGATGGGTCACTTAAATGCTTTCTAGTAATAATTCTAAAGTAAAATAAATATATTTCCAAGTTTTTTTGTTTTTTTTTGTTTATCCACTGGTTCATTTAGCGAACACATACAAATGAACAAACTACACGCACACTCACATCGTCATGGCCAAGCAATAATGACAGAATTTACAATAAAATAAACAATTCATGTTTGTTTTGTTGCCCATCAAAATGAGTGTCAAACCTGAGCAACTTTAAGTTGTAACTAACTTTTTAAATGTAGTCACATATAACATGGAGATCAGCTGGTATTTGTTTGGATTTTTTCTCTGCTCTCTCTCTGATACACTTATGGCTGTGGGCAAATGTCTGTCTTCTTTCAACAGGCGAGGAAAACAGTTTGTGATTTTTATCTTTCAGTTCATCCACACACATGCATGCACAGCTGTACAATCCTGTCAGTGTCACCAATTGATGAGTGCGCCACTGATTTAGGACTTTATGAAGCATGTACTGCTGTGCACATGTCTGTGAGATGTTCACCCTCTTCTGGTTTTCAGGCATGTTTTCATACGAGCTAATCCCTACAACGTCAGGTCCAGATGTTGACTAATGCGTATTTGTCTTCTAGGATTGGTCCGTAGATCTGAACCGAACACTCAGCAGACGAGAGAAGAAGAAACCGTCGGAGGGTGTCACACTGACCGGGATCAGTCAAACTGGATCAGAGCAGCATGTTCAGCCTGCAAAGACCAGCAGCAGGTATCTGATCACAAATCTTTATTAACAAATGCTCTTAAAACGCACACCAGTGTAAATCACCGGACGTCTTTCTTTACAGTAAAGGCTGTTACATCTTACATAAGGAGACTTGTAGGAATATGTTAAGTAGCCATTCTCATGGCAACAGCAAACATTTTGTTTGTGTTGGAGAAAAAATTGTCCCCCGAGGGTCAAAAGTCTGTGGTTACATAACTGAAGTCCTGCCTAAACTAATGTGGAAATATTTCTCACACTCACAGACCTTCCTGAGTGTTATTTATCAGCACTGGAAAGTTCAAAGAAAAAGGATTAATGTTTTTAAGCTATACATCTGCACTAAAAGCTTTTTTTTTTTTTTTTGGTTAATAAAAAGATTAGGAGGATTATCAGTCGGCCAACATTCATTCATTCATCCATTTTCTATAGCTGCTTGTTCCCGTTCATGTTGCTCGGATCATTTGTCGAGAGGTGGGGTACACCCTGGACCTCTCCAACCAACAGTTTTTTTATTTATTTTTATTTTAAACCTCACAAAGCATTGTTTTTTTTTAAGTAAAATATTCACTTGTACTAACTTAATAGAAAAGTTGTATCAAGATTTACAGCCTCTCGAGATTTGATTGGCAGTTTTTTAATAACTTCATGTAACCTTTCTAAGCCAATAAGATAAGAGTGTTATTGTCCTTGCAAAGAAATTTGTCTGGATCGTTGTGGCAACAGCTCTAAGGAGGTAACACCATATATCATGTAAAGGAAAGATTAGGGGAAGAGAATTGGCATCAACTAATGCAGTGATAAAGCACTTAATGTTGTGATTAGAGATTAATTCTTAACGAGAGCTTTGTTTTTTAACACTTCAATGTAATTTATTGTTTTTCAATACAGTATATATATTTTTTTAATTATGTGCTTGTTTCTGTTTTTACTCAGACATCTGTATAGTGTGTGTATAGAAATCGCAAGAGTGTAGAGGAGTCAACACAGGGAATGACAGGCATGAAAACAATGTGACCTCTAAACTTGAGAATGTTTGACTTCCTTAGGGCTGATCGCCTGCCCCTCCTTTCACCAACGTTTACAGTTATTGTGCGCATGAACACAATAAATGTAAAGACGTTCGGTTTTTCTGTTTAATTCAGATTTTAGTTTTATTTGTTTTTCTGATTAGGAGCAGATATTTTTTTACTTGTGTTTTCCTTCTTTTCAAGTCTGAAGCGTAGATAATGGTTGCAAGTTAACCCCCCTCCTGTCGAGACGGTGATGCAGCTTTCTGAGCTCTTGTATTCATGATTAAAGGTCTGGTCTGTTTGTTGACCGAAACCTCCAAAGTTACTTTGTGCTAAACTCCCACTGGATCAGTGTTTGGTGTAATAACGCCGCAGGCTCGTCTGAGCGAGCGTGGCATGGCTGTGTAAACAAAGGCGTTCACGTTTCTCCGCTTTGCACTCTGAAGGGCCAACACGTAGCTTCCACAGACACGGTTCGGTAGTTCTGTAAACAGGGAGTTGAAACTGAAGTGCTTCCTGTGATGTTGGCTCAGTGTTAATTTTGTTCTCTGGTTCAGAAAATTCACAATAGTAGAAAACAAAGTGCTGTTTCCACCTGAATACCGTATGTGTTGGACTATAAGGCGCATTAAGCAAAAGAAAACAGATGAGCTTTATTCAACTCAATCACAATAACCACAGAAAATCTGTTCGAGGTTAGTAAGCGCAACTAGAATGAATACACAAGGCACACCTGATTATAAGGCTCACTGACAATTTTTGAGAAAATTAAAGGATTTTAAATGCGCCTTATAATCTGAAAAATACAGTAATCTAAAGGTGCCAATCTGACTTTGCTTAATATGCCTATTCTGTATGTTGTTGAGGCTTGGTGTTAATTGTTAGGCACAGAAACTGTAAATTTTAAATGTCTTTTGTTTGACTTTACATAATGTCGTAATGGTGTTACCTACGTTTATTGTCATTTGAAGTAAATACAATAATTAGTGGGCCAGTGATCCATAGACACAATTGACCATTTACTGAGCCTCACCTGCGTTTAGTTTTAGTTGTTGGGTGTGAAATATCTGAGCAGGATTTTGGTTTTGGAGACCAACATCTGCTTTCTGGTCAGCTGTGTGATATGAGAAGGAGTTGCCTATTTAAGGTAAAAAGTTCTGAATTATTTGGGTAAAAAGTGTTGGAAGAGTTTGTTTTTTTTATAACAGAGGCTATAAGAAACTGTGCCTAGTAACAGATATTTGCAGCAACAGTTGAATTTCTTTTTTAGTTTTATGTTTTAAAGTTACAGTTTTCAAAACATTAGTCAAAATATGAAGGGGAAAAAAAAAGGTTAAAAAATGTGTAGAAAGTATAAAACATAAATGTGGTATAAATAAGACCAATATTTGTGGACAAGAGAAAGGATCTCCTGATCACAGCTTTCAGTTTTAACGATGTATAAGATCAAGATCACTCTTTTTTCCATCTTTTTCCTTTTAGTTTAGTTTCCAGTTAGCTGCTACATCTTGTGTATCAGCCCTGTGCAACATGGCCTACTTGGCCTCCTGCTGATCTCCTCAATTATGAACTCTGAGCCATTTAAAACTCTTATCACAGAAAACGAAGTTACAAAGCAGGAAACACATCTTCAGGAAACCCCACAGTCCTCCTTCATTTCATCTCCAGTACTGACTGTTTTTTTATTTATTTGGATCAGTCCCAAAGTAGCTGAATTAATGCACATCATGTGGCTTTAGAGTCACAAAACCCATTTTAAGTATTAACTTTAGATGATAGATATTGTGCATGAATAGGGTCTAAACTTTATTGGATGATGCCATAATGTCACATGGAGCCGTCGCAGTTACGCTGACTTGTTGGATTTGGTAGTTGCCCACAGGTGACCTGCTTCTCGTGTGTTTTAATGTGTGCGTGTCAACAACCCATCTCTCACTGTGTTCCATGTTGTCAGCCTGACTGTACCTACTAAAACAGCACCAGTGGGCACTAACCCGTTTGAAGACGAGGAGGATGAGGAAGAGGAGGTGGCCGAGGAGCAGCAGCAGAAAACAGAAAACCACGTCACTGTGAAAAAAGAAGAAATAAAAACGTTGGTGAACAGGAGAAAACTCTCCGCCCACCTGCAGCCTCCTTTACATTTTTTTCACGTCTTCTTCATAGATTTGTGTATTTCTTCATCTCGGTCACCTGGCTCCCTTCTCTGTTGTATCTGTGTTCTCACCAGGTTTCAGGTTGTGCTGCTCTGCATGGTCTCTGAATGGCACTGCACACAGGGTCAACATGTCTATCCTTCCCTCATAACCGTTTTTTGTCTTGCAAAACATTAAATATCGTGCGTACGGAAGCGCACATCTCTGCTGAGGGAAACTTTTCCATCTTGCAGTCAGATCTGATTACTGGCATAACTACATATGATTATTAAAATTTGGCTCTTACAATTAAAGTGTGCATAAATGTAAAATCATTCATTCATCTGTCTACATAAAGCCATCAAACAGTAGATTTTTAGCTGCTCATCAGTCTGACTGTAAAACTTTGTGTTCATGTACATTTTCTCCAGCTGTATCCATGTTCTTTGTGTTTAGGTGGCTCCCTCTGCTGGCTGTTCAAGTTAAAACTCCAATCACATATTCAGATGATGATTCGTCCTGCTGCCTTTTATGTTGCTGTTTCTTCATATATGTGTTTATGTTGTCATGTTCTGTTGGTATTTTTCTGTTTTTCTTGCTTTGTCTCCATTCAGCATTGTGTGCATTGTTTTTTTACAAGATGCTCTTGTTCTCCAAATGGCTTTAATGGGTTTTTATATTCTTTTATCAGACCTTTAGCCAATTGTAGAGTTAATACATCTTGTTTTATACTGGTTCAGACTTAATAACGAACAGAAATGTCTTTTATGATGGAGATGCACGAGGTTCTGGAAGACAAAACTATTATTAGATTTTTTTTTTTTTGTTAATTTAGTGTCCTGTCTGTTTGTTCAGTGTCAGCAGTGCAGAAAAGACTCCAGACTGGTCGGACGAAGACACAGTTGGGAACCCTTTCTCCACCAACGGTGACAGTAATCCATTTGAGGAAGAACCTGAGTCTCCGGTCATATCTGTGCTTGTCAAAGCCCTTTATGACTATGAAGGACAGGAGCAGGATGAGCTCAGTTTTAAAACAGGTTTGTAAATTAAAATGGTTGGAACGGTCATTTTTTTGAATAGAAGTGTTATCAGGGCATGACAGCAGGACGTATGAGCTAAAACTGACAACTGAACGTCTTTGTGTTGTTGAAGACGGTTTGTTTCTCATCCAAGAGACTTTCTCAAACCAAACTGGGATGTGATGGATTTGGAAAGAAGTTTTGTGAACATGCGAAAAGTTTTTTTTTGTTTTTTTTATTGTACAGATAAACATTAATACTGTCTCTAATAGAGCAGAGCAAAATCTCCTTATCCCTTTTGCATTATATGAAACTCAATACATAAAAAACGTTCCTGATATTTGAACGCTGTAAAAAAGAATTTCTCCTGCTGGCCCTTGTTGAATACTGGGTCTAAAATAAATCTTTATGTCCACATATTTAAAGTGACGTGACTCAGGTCAATACTGTTTTATTATGACACAAAGTAGGAGTTCCACTCCTTCCTCAGGCTACAAAAAGAAATTTGTTTTTGCTCTTGTATTCACCATCCTTGTCATTTTTTTCTTGGTTTTCTAGTTTGTAGCATCAGCGCCACATTTTCCTTCCGTTTCTGGTGTATTTTAAAGGCAGTGCCACACACAGGTTTGGCATATTTACTACAGCTTTTGGGTCTTTTTGTGTTTCTGTGTGGACAAAACCTTTCTAGATACGATGCTGTGCTTATAAGGATATTTTTAGAAATGCACGTAAAGACTTTTGGAAGGACAGTGTTTCCATGTGGACAAAGGCTCAGATCCAAAGCAGTTTAGTAAATTCTGGAAAACTGAAACCTGATGTTTCCTTCCTGTTTAAAGTTGATTGTTTCATTTAAGAGAACCTAAACCTCTTCATCACCTCTTCAGGCCAAGACTCCATTATTCATCTACTGTATTTTTCGGCCTATAAGTCACAGTTTTTTGCTTAATTACATGCCCTGTGAATTATATGCCAAATTGATGTATTTATGGATTTTTTTCCCATATTTATAAACCAATTTTTGGCTGAGATGTGACCGTTTTCATTCATTCTGACTGAAAGTATTGAACACTATAATTTTCAGCTGCTAGATGGCACTCTGAAGTATGGCATGCCGTTGTGTCGTGTAATAGATAAAAGTGGCTATTAATGACACAGTTGGCTTGCCATAGCCTGCCACCTTCATCCAGCTCGTCCAACAACCATCAAATTAGCGTCATTTCGCTGCGCCACCCTGGCAAAATGCAGCTAATTTGACCATTAAAGTGCATTTATTAAGTAAAAGTTCAACTCAGACACACCTTTGCTGTAATATCGAGCAAACAAATAATTGTTTTAGGTGCTTATCTTGTTAAATTTCGAAGACTCGTCTCTCCGCGTTCCTACTTCCGTGTATCGACTTTTGAAATGCAGCTGATTTGACCATCAAAGTGCATTTATTAAGGAAAGGCTGGACTGAGACACACCTTTTACTATAATTTTGAGCAAACAAAAAATTGTTTTTAAGTGTAATAACTTGTTAAAGTTCTCCTGTTAACGCTCCCGCAGCCGCCATTTGGCAGCCAATCGATTTTTGGCACAACACCGGCCCACATTTCTGGGTTGTCAGTGGTGACGCATAATAGATGCAACTTATACGGTGAAGCGACTTATTTATGTTTTTTTTTCCCACTTTATTAGATATTTTTGGACTGATGCGACTTGTAGGGTGATGCAACGTGTACGGCGGAAAATATGGTACATCTTAAGGATAAAGGATATTCTTAGGGACAGTAATACTCATTTAATACGGAGAAGGTAGATGGTGTGAGAGGGTTGTGAAATAAGCTGTATGCAGTACATCAAACAGGAAAGACTAACTTTAAGCAGAGTAGGAAGCCTCAAGTTTCAGCTTTCCAACACCTCCACAGTTCCCAGTCACCTTCTGACCAAAACTCCTCATGGGGACCAGGTTGACAGTGGTCCTAACAACCCCCTGGAGGGTAAGGGAGTGGACTTTTCTTTTGTAAATTCAGCTCGCCGAAACAAAGCGTCTCATGCATTTTAAAGTCTTGCAACACTGCACGTTCCGGTTCGATTTGAGAAAGCCTCATTAATGAGAAGCACGGCTTCAACAACAAAAGTCCTGTTCTCTCTAAAAAAAAAAAAAAAAAAAATCTTAGATGTGTAGAAATATCTTGAAGATGGCAAATATTAATATGTTTTGTACGTTTTCCAGGTGATGAATTTACCAAAATTGGTATAGAGGATGAACAAGGTTGGTGCAAAGGCCGGCTCAAGGATGGAAAAATGGGTCTTTATCCTGCTAATTACGTAGAAGACGTCCAATAAGGAATCACCCCCGATGATCTAAATGTGAAGAAAGGATTTTTCGTCAGTGCAAAAAGACTAGAGGCTCAACTTGAAATACTGTGTACAGTCTAGACTAAAACAGGAGTACAACAGTGTGTTGTGCAGACTTTAAGGACCTGAGGACATGAAATATTGTTGCATGTTTGACATCTTCTAAAACAAAAATGCAGAAGTGGAAAGTAACTTTGAGTTATTAGATATTTCCAGGAAGATCACAGATAAGTTGTGTAAGATATGTTACTTTAAATCATTTATGCTGTTACAGAGAAAGCTATTCAATTCTAGACTAAATGAGATGTTTGTATTTATGTATTGGTTAAACAAAACACTGGGATGACAACCTGCTTATGTCATGCAGCCTTAATATTTGTAATTCATTAAGGGAGATTAATTTTTATAGCCAGAATTAGCTACTAGTAACAAAAATAATTCAGTTCATTAATGTTTAAGTACTTTTTTAATGTATAAAAAAGCTCTTATGTAAAGTTTCTTTAAACAAGTGCTTAAAATTCTCTGTCATTCCTTCCATGATTTCAAATATTCTGCCTATTAAAAGGAATAATAAAGATCTATTTGTCATCTTTAACAATATTTTCTAAGTCAGTACAGATGAATGTATATGCAATGATTGTAATTCTTGATTGTTCACTTTTATTGATGTTATAATTTTGCCACAACTGATTTGTTTCCTTTAAATAGCTGAGCAGGAAACCTTTTCTCCTGTTAGTTTTTTTATCACTTGTTTTTCACGCAGCACTGAATGTCACTGTTCTATCACTGTTTGACTCGGTTGAATTTTTATGTTCTAGTATAAAAATAGCCTCGACTTCTGATCAAACGGTGAACAAACATTGTAGCATTTTATTTTAGTGTAGAACAGATGTTTAGGAAAAAAACTGAGAAAATTCTACGGAAATAGACGTTTGGGTTTAACAGTAAATAATAAAGCTCGTCAATTTAAGGACATTCAGTTGGGCTTTTTTCTGCTTTTGTTAGAATGCTGTGATTAAAAACACAATTGTACATTAACTGAATTTTTACGGCAAATATGTGTTATTTTGTCATATTTGTAAATAAGATTTTCTTCATTTGGACCATTTGCCTTCAGGTAACTAATACCACACGATTAACATTTAATTTTATCTTGAAAACTAAAACATTAATTTTTTTTCAAACTAATATACGCTCTCACACACACATATATATATATACATATACACACACATTTTGTTTTCTATTCTGGGATGAACTGTGGCTTTTTCACAAGCTCTAATGACCTATACATTTTGTTAATTTGTGTAGGATTTAAAAAAAATGTTTTGCCATGTTTTCAGGGTGTGCTGCTGTCAGTAGGCAGTAATGGCTGTACTTGCACATTTAATGTTGTCTCAACATAATAAATGAATTTATTCTGCAAAACATTCAATGTGTGCAGATGTTTTTTTTTTTTTTAACATTTTGTGAAGTTCTTGAAACTTTCTTTAGACTATTTTTGATTTGAGTTTATGCATGTTGATGACGCGTGAGAATTTTTTTTAATTAAATATATGTTTTTTATTGTTAAATGCATAAAAACATTTCAAGTTTCTTTGTCATTCACATGTGGAACAAAATAGTCTATTCAAGGTCCCAGTTACACCCAAAAAAAGTATAAAAAGAAATGGTATACGACACACATCTCTCTCTCTCTCTCTCTCTCTCTCTCTCTCTCTCTCTCTCTCTCTCTCTCTCTCTCTCTCTCTCTCTCTCTCTCTCTCTCTCTCTCTCTCTCTCTCTCTCTCTCTCTCTCTCTCTATCTATATATCTATCTATATATCTATCTATATATCTATCTATATATCTATCTATATATCTATCTATATATCTATCTATATATCTATATATCTATAGATATATAGATATATAGATATATAATTTAGTGTTTAGCGTACATTTTAGATCTTTCAGCCTATATCTCTGTGTGTATGTATATACACATACGTATATATATGTGTGTGTATGTATATATATATACACACACATACGTATGTATATACATACACATACGTATGTGTGTATATATATATATATATATATATATATATATATATATAGACTATATTCTTTGATGAATTAGAAAACACATTTACTGTATGTCCATTGCATTACACTTTTACTATTCCCCCCGGAAGTGAACCATAACCTAAAATAAATGTCTACATTTATTATAAAATTATATTTATTTTGTTTTGTCCTATGCTTTTAAAAAACAAAAAAAAACCACTAGTTTTAGATAATTAAATACTTGACATTAAAAAATTAATCCATATAGTACTGTCTGTAACTAGAAGATTTGTATATTTCAGATGGATATCGAGATAAACTACATTACCCAGCAGCCTATTCGACAATAACACGACCACGGGGCATTTCCAGCCAATCAGAGTGAGAGTCTGACGTTCTCCTACTGACGTGTCGCATTCGACTGTTATTAGGAAAAACACGAAGCTCTGGATGCCATTCCTCTAAACAACACAGGTTTTTCACGACCAAGTGGCAGAACAATGGCCGAACCCAGCAAACAGGACATTTCTGCGATTTTTAAGCGGCTTCGCTCCGTTCCTACAAACAAGGTTTGTTGTTTCGCTGGACGGACGGTTCGGTGTCTTTAACAAGGAAGTCAACTGGGTCAAATCTGACACGTCGCACTTTAATGCTAGTTTAGACTTAAAACCTAATTATTTGTTTTAGTATGGTATTTTCGAAAACAAGTCGGACATGTTGAATCGACTCAACTAGGTCATGGTTGTAAAGTAGACAATTTTTGAACAACTTGAGACTGTTTTACCCCCCTTTTTTTAGGACAGTTTATACAGCCATGTTTTTTTTTAGGCTCACTACTTGAGGCTTAGTGTAAAGTAAATAATAAAACGTCAATGTTCACACCCTGAGTAATGAGGTTTTCTGAACTGGGCAAAAGTTCAGTCCGTTTATTAACAGCTGGTTGCTAATTGTCATGTACTTCAGACTCTCACAGCTGATGTGTTGACGTGACTCAGGCTGTTTTTATTTTATTGATTCTTAAAGTGTGAATCCAGATAAGGTTTTAATCTTGCTTTTTGCTCTCTGGCCTTTTTAGGTTTGCTTTGACTGTGCAACTAAAAACCCCAGCTGGGCCAGCATCACCTACGGTGTGTTCCTCTGTATAGACTGCTCTGGGACTCACAGGTCCTTGGGGGTGCATCTGTCCTTCATCAGGTGAGAACAGGAGGATGTAGCTGAAAGGTCAGCTGATTATCAGGGTTGCATATTTGTTGCAATGTATTTTGTCTGAGGTGAACAAAAATGTCCATCAGGGTTAATTTGCATTTCAGTGGGAACATATTTGTGCTAAGAATGAGCCTAAGAGTGTTTTAAAAAGGGGCAATCGGGATTCGTTTTTGTGACTTAAGACACTTTGCTTCTCTTCCCAGAGACGCTTTCAGTTCAAACTGGATTGTGCAAAGTTTTAGACGTGAACAATCTCCTGGAAACATTGTAGTTTTTCTACTGTTGATTGTAAAAATATTGCATGTGCACATGGAAATGTTATGATCACAGCTGCTATTTAGACACTGTACCGGTATTTTGTCCGCCGAGTCACTGGCTGGCTCTGTGATTTTTATATTTCAACGACACGTGCATGCACACAGACGCTTCAGTCTCCAGCTAAAGCGGTTACTGCCATTTTTTTTAGCACTTGAAGAGCATAAGAGATGGTGTAGCACCTATATAGTCCCTGTCAGAAGCTCTGGTAAATTAAAAACACTGAGCACCCTGAAAAGCACTTCTCTACTATTATTGCTGCTGTTCGTCTTTGCGCAGAATAACTATTGACTGCAGCTGTTCATAGTGAGCATGAACAGATGCTGGGCGATTAAAAAAAACAAAACCTTCCACTTAGACCTGGATTTATTAAAACGCTTCAGTGTCAGAGGAAAAAATGCTGTTTTCGTGTATAAATGCATCCAAAACCCAACAGAAAGGTTATGGTTTCACTTATACTCAGGGCTTTAAGCTGCGTGGGATGCTCTGCTTGTATGAGCTGAATTCACACGGAGGTTAATCTCACTCCCTTACCCTCCTGAGGGTCATCAGGGATTTTGTCAACTTGGTCCTGAGAGGAGTTTTGTTCATGCAAATCTAATTTGTCCAAAATTTGAACACTGTCTTTTGTCCTCGAGATGTAGGTGAACAGCTGAGTCTCATTTGAAAAAGGATTGTGCAGGTATTTATTTGTTGTCAGAAATTAAAGCTGCTTAATTAGCTGATGGTTTGTTTAATTGGCAGCAAAACGGCACTGAGTCTTAAACACAATTTTCTCAAAGACTTGCCATCTCCTCAGAGTTGCAGCTTATCTTCAGATGGCTCAAGGTCACACAAAACACTGTATTCTTTTGCTGATTTTAAGTTGGAGGCCATATTTTTGTGTGTGCTAAGAACTTTGAAGAGACTTCATTGGGTTTCTGTAAAAAGAAAATGGTTATAAAAAAAACTATTATCTTACCTGTTGTAGACGGCGCTGAGGATTTTTATTCTCCACCTGAGGTGCAGTTTGCTCTGGTCCAGCAACATCTGTATAAATGACTGTTCTGTTCCTCAGGTCCACTGAGCTGGACTTTAATTGGTCATGGTTCCAGCTTCGATGCATGCAGGTTGGGGGCAATGCCAGTGCGGTGAGTGTCAGAAGGCCGCATATCTAGGTGCTGTCGTCAGTTTGTAATCGCAACGCTGCACGTTACAAAACTTGTTCATGAGAACTTCTTTCTGTTTGAACTTTTTTTTTTTTTTTTGAGACAGATTGCATTTTTCAATCAACATGGGTGCCAAGCCAGCGCAGCTAACGCCAAATATAACAGCCGGGCTGCCCAGCTGTACAGGGAGAAGATAAAGACCTTGGCCACACAAGCTACCAGACGCCATGGCACTGAGGTAACGCACACGCGTTGCTCAGAGATTAAACACAAGCTTCACTTTGCTTATCAGGCTTCCTTAAACTGTAAAAGTGTTCACATTAATAAATCAGTTGTGCTGCGTTTATTCTCCTCAGCTGTGGCTCGATAGTCAGGCTCCTCTGTCTCCAACGTCCCCAGAAGACAAGCAGGTGGACTTCTTCAGCGTACATTCACAGGTACAGGGGTGTGCTGCTTTAAGTTCAAAAACCGCAACTACATCTGTGTGTTATATTAGTTATAATTAGTCGGGACACATTTTATAAGCCTTTTCATTAGATTTACCGTATTTTTCGGACTATAAGGCGCACTTAAAATCCTTTTTAATTTTCTCAAAAATCCACAGTGAGCCTTATAATCTGAAAAATACAGTAACTCTTTTAGATGTTATGTTTTTTTATAATTGCTTTTATTAAAGAGGGTATTTATCCAAGCGTTGCACACATTTCTGCAGACCTCCGTCTTTTTCAGGGATGAATCTTTTTTCACTTGGTGTCAGATGTTTCTTATGAGGTGTTTGAGATTCTGATCACAAGACACCTTGAAGAGCTCTAAGCTACGAGTTTATGGCTTCAATAAAAAAAAGTCCCTCAGGGATGTATAAAATATCCATTCAGTTATTCATCACAATAAATTCAGACCAATCAGCATCCTTCACTAGCAGCTATGATGATGAGCAACGGTATTTCCTGTTTGCTCACTGGTGTCATGGTGGTATCCCTGTTTTACTTGATTGGTTGAATTTTATTCATAACCTTGATAGGATCTTAGGAGTTTATTTTCAGTGCAGTCTTTTGAAAAAAAAATTGTTTTGGTTATTTTTATGAAGTGGAAATCCTTTACTAATAATAGAAAAACTAGCAACTTTACGTTTTGCAGCATTTGACATTTATATGATATTGGTCTTTGTTGTACACACGTCCAACATGTATGTTGATAATTTACGGGATGCAAGTTTAAATTTTTTTTTTTTTTTTGTCCAGGCTTCTTCTGATAATTTGAATTTAGATAAAATGAATCTCAGCTCGTCCACATCAGAGAAGCCTGTGGCTCAGGAGAAAAATGAAGACCCAAATGGTACGTTGCTAATAAATAATCTAACGTGAAGATTTAAACCAGTTGTTTTGTTTTAAACTAAATTTCACCAATTAAATGTTCACTTTCTTTTCAGGGAATTTAGAGGAGGGTCCAACTGTAGACATGCTTAGTGTTTCTTCAAAAGCAAACCCAGGTTTGTGAAAATTCTTTATTAACGATCATTTATTTTTAGAAGTAATGTAAGTTAATGTGTTTAATGTTGGTTTTTTTCAGAGCCTGCCTCTCTGCTCAAGAAGAAGCCAGCAGCAGCTAAGAAAACGGTATGTTAATAAACATACATGTACATGCATTCTCTGCCCAAACGTGTATTTGAAATTAATTTAGACCCGTTGTACTTTCCTGTATGAAGCCCTAAGATGGCTTGATCCCAAATATTGAATAGAAGTTGTGGTCTGAAACAGGACTGAGGATTTCTGATGTCTGTCTGTAGTTGGCTTCTAAAAAAGGCGGTCTGGGAGCTCAGAAAGTAAGCAGCCAAAGTTTCTCAGAGCTGGAGAAGAAGGCTCAGGCTGCCGACAAGCTCAGAGAGAACGAGGAGAGCTCTGCTGCAAAGACAAAAGTCACACCTGTGGAATACACGTGAGAGCACTTCCTGTGAATCAACTGTAAATATATTTGTCATCTGTGTGTCTTTTTGTTGTCCGTTCTGACCTTTCTTTTTTGCTTTTGTGTCTCAGCGCTCCGTCCATGCGCCTGGCCTACAAAGAGCTCGAGCAGCAGAGAAAGATGGAGGAGCAGAAGCTGAAGGGATTAGAGGGGAAGAAGAAGGAGCAAGCTGAGAGGCTGGGCATGGGTCTCGGCATGAGGAGGTAGAAAGATGAAGATATACATAAAATGAAATTAGGATATGTTCACCATTTAGTTCTTGTGTCTGTCTTTGCTCTCATTGTGCTGCTTTCTTGTTTCTGTCCGTAGTGGGGTTTCACACTCTGTTTTGTCAGAAATGCACATCATCCAGCAGGAAAGTCCACTTGGAGCCAAAACTACCAAAGGACGACGGTTTCCAGAAGAAGATGAGGATGAAGGGTCCTTTAGCTCAAGGTTATACAAAAACGATTAAATGCAAATTTAATGAAATGCTTTACAGTTACCTTTTACTACAGAATTATTCTGACATGTATGCATATTTAAGACGCCAAATAAAAGTCCCCTTAAGCAATATTTTGTGATGCCACAGTCCAGGTTGCCACTCATGTAAACAAACAAGGTTTCTGTGGATTTAGCTTCATAACAGAACATCTCATGCTGTTTAAAGCTTGAAACTTCGTCTCCTACTTGGATTTAAGATAACTCACTGGGTGGGAAAAGAAACGTCTTTACAGAACCAAAGTCAAGTTGTTTTGCTTTGTCCTTGGATGACTCAGGATCTAACACTAACAAAAATAAATTTTGTCTTATAAATTATTATTAAAAGTTGTATGATTTGATTTAATTTAAGAACAAATTCTGTCAGAACAGGTGTTGATGCAAATAAGTCCAGTCCATACACTCTATTCAGTATTTATTGGCTGCAGTTTTTTTTTTTAAGTATTATGAATATAAGTGTGTTTTTATTATACCGTATTTTTTGGATTATACGGCGCATTAAGCGAAACAAAACAAATAAGTTGAACTTTATTCAGCTCATTCACAATAACCACATAAAATTGGTTCAGGGTCAGTAAGCACAATCAGAATTAATACATAAGGTGGACCAGATTATAAGGCTCACTGTTGGTTTTTGAGAAAATTTAAATGATTTTAAGTGCATCTTATAGTCTGAAAAATATGGTAATTTTTACTCTACTCAGTATTACTGTGTTTAATCTAAAGGTTGATGCCCTAATATAGAACCTGTTTAATTTAATGTTGAAGTGATTTTATATTTCACTGTGGTAATTCTTGTTTTAGGGTCTTGTCTCGGTTTGAGGATCAGACAGAACCTACAGACAGTTTCTCCTTCCGATGGGGTGACGGCAGTGATGGAGGAGGTTGGATGAAGGAGAGTAAGAAACCAGAGCCAGACTTCTTCATGTCCTCCATCATGTCTTCATCTGACGACAGGTGTGTGTTTGTCTTGGAAAGCTCGGCACAGCTTCTTCATGTCACTTGATCCTCACACATGGTGTGGGTGTTTCTGAAAATATGAAACACAGAGCAGGTTCTATAGTTTATTGACCTTTTAGGGCTTTTTTTAAAATCCAAGAATGCTGCTAACAACAATAAATCGAGTCATTGTTTGAATAAAATAAAGCAATAAGGAATAAGACAAAATCAAATGTTGTTTTTTTTAAGTTTATTGTTGAATCAAATTTTGTCTGTTTGTTGTTTTTCATCAGGTCCACGACCAGGAGGAAAGCTGAGCCGGCACCAGTCTCGGATTCAGGAGAAGCTCAGAAAAAGTTTGGAGATGACGTCAAAGCCATCTCCTCTGATATGTACTTTGGAAAACAAGAGAACTCTGAGGTACGCAGATGGTACCAAAGTAATATATTACACAGATAAAAATGCAAAAACTGTACAGTAATAGTAATTATGGAGAGGGAGAGTCATATAATACACTGAAAGTAATGAGCAGATGGCTATTTGTTTTCTATCTCGATATATTTGCACTGGACTTGCAGATTTTATTTTCTAATTTTGTAATTTTTTTTAATTTATTTGTGTTAGTATGAAGCCAAAACTCGACTGGAGAGATTTGCAGGGAATTCCTCCATAAGTTCAGCAGATCTTTTTGATGATCCAAAGAAACAAACCGGTAAGACGCAACAAAACAACACAGAGCTTGTAATGTACCTGCCTTTAGTTTAAATTCTACAAATTAGTTATTTATATACGTGTACAGTAGTACCTGGTTTATCGCAGGGGATCCGTACCCTGAAGACCCGCGATAAGTGAAAAACCGCGAAGTAGGAGAGTAGTACAAGTCGTAAATAGTAGTTTATTTTAGTTTCTAAACTCTAAATGCTCTAAAAGAGCACAGAATGTCATGGACTCGGCTCTCTTCCTTGGCTGCGCTCTTGGCCACGCCCACTTCGCCGCTCTGCTCGGAGAACAGCTGATCAGCTGCAGGAGGAAGCTTATCCTGCAGTGTGGGCTGCACAAAGGTGCAAATAAGGTGCTAAATGATTTAAAACAATTTATTTTAAATAAAAGTTCCATGCCGATCGTGCGGCTCATCCATCAGTCAGCCGATTGTGTGTCATGTCCACTCTTATTAAAAAAAACAAACGCAATAGAGCGAGTCTTTTATTGCTTTTTTAATGGATCATTTAAGCACGAACTAGAATGTCCATGGAACTGGTTGTTTGGATTCATCATTGAGTGTTCCAGCAGAACTAAAGGCAGACGTGTCAGTAGAGTCTGGCTCCTGGAGGATATGTAAACTAAGAAGCTCTGCCTGAGTCTTACTGACGTATTGCTCCACTACCTGTCGTTCATGCAAACCGGCATCAACGTAGAGCTAAGCTAGCAGGTGGGCAACGAAGACGTGACGTCCCGTCCGTTCCCCCCTTCCCAGACAAAAAAATTAAAAAATCAAAACAAAAACAAGCGCCCCGCCAAGGGAGCTGATGTAGGAGAAACACTGACCTTCTATGCATAAATGCATTATGATGTCATTTTATGTTGCAAGGTCTTTTTGTTTTTGCTTCCTTTACACTGTGCCCCAGCCAGGACATGGTTTGAGACATGATTTTTCTTTTCAACATCCTCCTCATCTACTCTGTATGTTGTATGCAACAGGTCTCTTGTAATCGAGTCCCTGAGGCTCAGTGGGAACTAACCTGTATAAATAAAGGTTGAATGAATGAATAATTGCTCTACCCTAAGACGTTCTTTTCCGACAACCAGTGTTTGATTTCTGCCTCGCCGTTTGTCTCATGTTAGCAGGAAGTTCATATCGTCTGAGCAACGTCCTGCCCAGCGCTCCGGACATGTCGCAGCTCAAACACGGAGTGCGCTCAGTCGCAGGAAAGCTGTCCGTCATGGCGAGCGGAGTAGTTAACACGATTCAGGTTGGTTAGAAACACGACACACTGATCAACACCGTCTTTATTAGAGGCTTTTCTAAAGTTCATCTGTGTCATTTTTAATTTGGTTTTGACTCCACTTTCTTCTCAGGATCACTACAACTCCTGAGTCGCTGTGTTGATGTGGGAACTTCTTCACTCTGTCGAGGAGAACCGGGGGAAAGATTTATCAAGGCTCGCAGCAAGTCTGCAGATTTACCACAAAGTAACCGTTTGTCTTTTTTTCAGCTGAAGTGTATACATTAAAGACTGCAACTTAAACGAACGAGTGGAAGGATTTTTCCCTGGAAGCAACTTGAAGGGAGAGTTCTGTGTATTTTACAGACTTAAAAGTATTTAGTTTGCATCATATCTACGCTTTAAAGTTTGGGGGTTTACATATTTAGGCTTAGTGGTGTTGTTAAGGAGGGGCATTCAGATGATTCAGTTTTTGTTCGTGTAGTCCTTCATGCACACTTTGTCGTGTCGTAGATTCTTTCACACAGAATTGAAAGTGTCCTTTCTGTTCTCAAAGTGCACTTAGGTTTGCTCCTCCTCAAAAACTGGACCAAAAGCTGATGTAGTACCTGAGGGACCAAGTATGTTGTTTTGATTGAATATAAAGTTACCCATCCATTTTATTTTCTGTCATGGGGGAGCTGGTCCCTCTCCAGACTAAAAGCTATGTAAGCTGAAAATCAATGGCTTCATTTGCTCTGAACCTCTTCTATACTTTCAGTAGCTGCTTTTTTTTTTTAGCTCGTGCAAAGTTGCTACGGCGACAAACTCTGAAGCTGCATCAAATCTGTTCAAAGACGTGGGAAAATGTATAAAAGTAGGACAATTGGACTTGCTGTTATGCGATAAAACTGTTTTGGAACTAAAACTTGACTTTTTTTGACAGTAAGGTTAACAGATGGAGTAAAGCTGGTTTTAGATTCTCTCTAACTTCTCACACCAAAGAGCAAATGTGCTTTAGACGATTTCTTTAAAAAAATAAAAATAAAAAAAAGCTGTTGCAGCAGAAGGACTCTGCGTTATGCAGGATCATTGCACTATTTAATTAGTTTCCTCAGTTGTGACGTTTAGAACTGGTAAATATTAATGGTCTCAATATTGATGTATAAGTTTATTACGTGTAGAGGTGCCTGTTTAATCTTTTTGTTGAAGGCTGTGGTGAAATTACAGGATTTGACCCTTTTATTGTTTAAATCTGAAGGCATATTTGTAAATTGCTGATGAAGCAGGATTTTTCTGCTGTGATACATTTTAGTTAGTAGTTGTTGATGTGGACAATCCCAAGTTTACTCAATCTGCTTTGTGAACATGCATTCAGGGATTCATATCGATGTTACTTTGCCGCCCTCCTAAACATTTTTGCAGACCAAGCCATTCCCCACATGGTTTGAGACAGGAGTTGGACTGAATTTTAAAACACTAAAAAAGGACAAAGTAAGAGTTGTGTGTCCCTGATGGACAAAACATTTGTTTACCCTCATCACTGCCTTGGCTACAGAGATCTTTATTCGCTCACCTTCATTTCAATATTGCAGCAGATAGTGTTAGAAATTTAAACTTTCTAGCTTTACGTGTTTTAATGTTTACCACTGAGTCAATAATGCGACCATGTTCGCTGTGCATTTTGTCAAGTTGTCTTCTGTTGAGTTTGTCAATGTTACATGAAAGAATATCTGTGTGTAATCTGCATGAGCTTTTGTAGTGTGCTATACAATATACAGACATTCTGAATATAAGACGAATATTCCTTTTTCTTTCTTCAGTGATTAAAGTTGGCTATCATTAGCCACATACAAAAGTTGTATATGGCTTTGAATTGCAATATTATAAAATATATTGCTGATCGATGGTGACCATTTGTGATGTACGCATGTACAATTTTGATAAATGACCAGCTTGTTCCTGAACTCTTATATGTCCAAATAAATAAGTCTGCGTTGGTTATTATGTATGCAAACATTTGCGCTGCCATTTTAAAACTGTTAAGGGTTTTGCCAGTAATCATTCAGCTTTTACTGTATCAGGAGTTAATGGGGGAATAAATAAATTATATATATATATATATATATATATATATATATATATATATATATATACATATATATATATTGTGTAAAAAACTCTAAATGACTATTTTGAGCTGTTTTCGAATTGAATAAGTAGACGATTGTCAGTGACATATTTAATGTTATTTATAAGTTAATTTAAAGTATTTTGTTATCAATAAGTGTTTAAAAAGTAGGTACAGTAATCGGTTGTTTTAAACTTAAAAAAAAAAAAATCCTGGCGCTTACGTGGCTGACTGGTGCGTTTACTAGCATGTCTGTGTGATCGGAAATTTGCCAATTCGTCATGTTTACAGTTAACAGTTTGTGGCTCAGCTGTACAAGTTAGCCAAATGTAGAAAGTTAAACTTACTTTAGAACATATATGTCTAATTTAAGTTATGTCTGACATTATTAACAAGTTTATTATTAGTGTTGCGGTTTTGTTTGTCAAGTATGTAGTGGTGAACCAACTTTTTCCATCAGCATTTGAAGGCACCGTTTTCCAGAGCGCACGAGCAGGAGTAGCGGTTTAGCTAAACCAGTTTGATCGCGTTTATTTGTTGCTTGAATCATTATGAACTTGTTTCTGAGGCAGGTTTTTTGTGTTATTTTGCGATTTAACAAACAGCTGGCTACGCTGTTTTGTTAGGCCTGTTTAAAACCAGTTAAGACGTAAAACAACGGGTCAAGCAGCGGCTTATCGTGTTAAAAATGCCCACTGAAGTGAAGCAGAGGAGGAAGACTCCAAAACAAAACACTCATGAACTTTCGGAAACTTCGTCTGCTAAGGGTGAAGATGAAAAGGAGACATCGGAGGACCACTATATTGCAAATGAAACCCCTTCTGGTCCCGACATGAAAAGTTTAATGTGCTTATTGTCGCTTGTAACCTGCGGAGTTTTGAGCTGGTGAGTTCCAGTGAAATTAAAAACTTTTTATTTTAAAGCGTGTGTTCGTCTCTGTAAATGTTTTCCTGTGCTTCAGGGTGGTGCTGCGGCAGAACGAGAGGTTCTCGCTAATAGAGGAAAAGTACCAGACTCTGTACGGAAGGACTTCCAGCCTGCTGGACAAGGAGGAAGACATGGTTCAAGTGTCTAAAAAGGTAGAATTAGTGTTGCCAGATCTCGCGATAGAAACAAGCATCCAGCTCTAGGAAAACAAGCCCAACTGGCAACCCACCACATTGTGTAAAACGGAGGCCGTTTTTAAACGGTATAAACATACATTTATTATGAAATTACTCATAAACAACAGCAAAATTATGCTCAACACTTTGAATAACATACTTTTAGGCTCTGATAAAAAATACATTTTGCATATGTGATTTTTTTTTTTTCCCCTACACTTTTAAAATAAACTTCCTGCGTGTGAGTGGTGCCCCCTAGCGGTCGGTCACGATATCTATGGTACGCACCACCCAAACTGTAAGATCTCCTAAAATATCGCGAGATTTTGCTTGATCTATTAGATATTGCTGAGGATACTACCACACTACATTTTAACTCAATATCTGTAAAACTGACTGTGCATTGCAAACATGTACCAGTATATGTAAAATTTGGTGTCTGATTTATTTGGCTCCTATAAAAATGGGAATTTCATTATGACAAGGTACATTAAAATGTCCTGGTATCAAATAATTATACAGAAAATTATTTCTAGGGACCCTATCCTGACGTTAGCTTTTGTTAAATGTAGGTGTAGTTTTCACATTTTTTACTTCTTTGTCCTTAACCACATTGTGACTGTGTTTCCAAACTAGTTTTGGGTAAAAAGAATAGTGTTGGTGTACTGTTTTCTAGAGTGGTTTAGGATAATCAAAACGTTTCCTGTCCTTAAACAAAGCAAGGAGGAAACATTTCTAATTTTTAAAAAACGTGTCACTTTTTCTACTTTATTTCATGGGATATCAATGCTTTGACTTCTATAAAAACATTTAAAATCATAAAATTTAGTAGAAAATAATATTTTAAGCCCTTTTAACCGTCTTAATTTAACTTGGGATCCAATATGGTTTATGCATGAGCTGTGTGTTCAAGTTGAGTTCAGAGGATCCACAGAAACAGCGCTCCTGTTTTGTGTTGCGGCTGCAGCTTGCTGCGTCCGAAGATGACCTCCAGGAAGCGCTCTCCACCGTCTCCTTGGCAACAAGGCTCCAGCAGGACATCTCCACCCTCCATGCTGCCATCATGGTGATGCAGACTGACGAGAACTCCGCCTCCCGCGACCTGCAGTCAGTCAACGCCCACTTCCTGGACGTGACGGAGACGTGGCAGGAGCGGCTGGCTGCTGTCACCTCGGATCTGGCTGCCATCAAGGCCGAGGCGCGGGAGGCTCACGCCGGAGCCACGGAGCGGGTGAACGAGGCCGAGCAGAGGACCCGGACGCTGGCGGAGAGGCTGGAAGAGCTGGAGGACAGCACAAAGAGGAACGCCAGAGTTATGGAGCGCACTGAGGAGGACGACGCCAAGCGAGCGCAGGACCAGCTGGACTGGAACACCAGGCAGGTCCACAAACTGGAGGAGCAGATCGGCATCCTGCGCAGGAGGGAGGTCGAGCTGAGCGCTCAGCTCCAGGAGCACGTTCTCCGCGCGCAGGCCTGCGAAGAGCACCTGCCCCAGGTGGAGGAGGCCGTGCGCTCCATATTAAAACTGAGCGGCGATCTGATGGGGGCGGAGAAGAGGCTGGAGGAGGTGACGCTCCAGGTGTTTGGGACTGAGGACAGCATGCTGAAAGCGCTGAGCGAGATCCTCGAGATCCGACAGGAGCTGGACACCCTGCAGGCTCAAAACAGCATCCTGAAGATGAAGAACGAGCTGTCTGTGGTGAAGGAGGCCGTCCGTGAACTCACCACGGTGCTGAGGGGAAACCTGGTCGAGAGCCAAGCGGATGCTGAGCTTTTGGAGGAAGAGGAATGGAAAGATGAAGAGCAGTGGCAGGACGATGAAGCTGAATATCCTCATGATGATTTCACCGTCTGATTTTAAATCAGTTACTGATGTTTCTCTAGTACTTATTTTGTTCCAGTTACACTTATTAAAAACACGGCAAGCATTTCAACAGTTTCTTGAATAAAACCTTTTTTATTAAAGTAAATATATTTTTTCTCCTGTTTTTTTTATTCTCTTGTGTAATCCTCTTTCTCACCGAGGATCAGTGTGACCCTCCTGAATCTGGCACACGAGCTTACCTGTTCAGCTCCGTCATCCATTCTGTTTCAGTGTGAGGGGGTCCAGCGGATGTTGAAGGTTCTCCAGGATCAGAGGGGGGCTCAGCAGCCTCAGATGGAGGGTTTAAAGCAGGAGGTGAGCCGGCTGAAGGAGTGGGCGTCTGGTTTGACTGGGAAACGGTCACAGCTGGAGGGCAGCTTGACTTCACTGAGGAATGCTGTGGGGCAAATCGAAGAGCGTACCTCGGCCATCACTAAGGACATTGCTAATAAGGTTTGTCAGATTGTTTGCAAATGCCACTAAGGTGTAAATTAAATTTTTTGTCTTTATTTAGTAGGATAAAATGTTTCCTAAATGTTCTTGTTGGTTCCAGGTGTCCTCGGTGAGGACAGATGTGCGCCGGATGGACGGACTGCAGTCTGAGATGGACTCTCTGCTGACTCGGGTGGGAGAGCTGGAAGAGAAGACCGCTCAGGTGGAGCACAGCATGGTGAGACGCATCGGAGACGTGCTGGCCAGCAGCATCGACCGAATCTCCAATCTCCGCGCTGCCTCTGAACGCAACGCTCGGGCCATAGATCAGCTTCGCAGGAGTCTCCCTGAACTCGCTGCGGCAGACGAGCAGATCTCGGAGCGGCTGAGAGAGATGGAGAGCGGCCGGGCTCGTCTCATCAGAACCGTTACGTTTGCTGCTGACCTTAAACCCAAAGTGGCGTCTATTAAGAGAGACTTTGGGGCGTTTGAGCCTCAGTTGTCCGACTTGACTCTTCGAATAGGTCGGTTAGCAGAAGATCTCACCAAGAGAAAGCAGGAGCTCGCGGAGCTTCGACAGACTTTATCAAATCTCACCGCGGTCGAGGGAGATTTAAGCGTCACGGCTAAACACGTCAGTGAAATATCCGATTTATCTGCTATTGGAGACACACGCACGCCAACGTGAAAACGTTTTAGACTTGTCCAGCTCGTCAGTTCACCCGACAAACTATTAAAAAATGTTCAGTAATAAACTTGTTTAAAAAATTGTGAAATCAAAAACCTCCCAATTAAACTAACATTTGTGAATAGGTGTTAAAAAAAGAGGTGGAATTTCCAGAGCTACTGTATGTTCAATGTTTTTCAGTTTTTTAACATTAAAAATATATTGCCCTAAGGTGAAAATGGTTTTGTCTGCATGCACATTAGCAAAAGATCTCAAATCCATTAGGTACATTTTATTTTAACTCATTATTTGATTGTGAATCTGCAACTACTGGAGTTAACGCAGTTCATGATGGCCACCACAGCTACACATCGTAACTCAAGTGAGTTTCACAGATCATGCTTTTTCGGACTAGGCACACTTAAAATCCTTTAATTTTCTCAAAAATCGAGAGCGAGCCGTTATCTTTATCTTTTTCTGTACGGATGAGACGGGTCCAGCTGCTCTGAGTGAGCTTCCCATGATAAACACTCGAGAAGGAGTAATTTTTTTTATTTTGCTGGCTTCCATCACGTAGGTAGATTTGCACTTTCACCCATTGTTCACCATCAGAAACAGATCAGACCAATGACGTCACGCAGTCGCCCTACTGATGCACTGATAGGCTGTGCTTCCAGAAGGGAAGGCGGAGCCAAGGGCCAAGCTGGGGCGTTCTGTCACACGGGGCCTCCACTTCCAGGTTAAGACAAGTTGGACGCCTCAGCGCTGAACCTGCAACTTTTTCCTTCCTGATGAATATTAACTTGGTAAACAAAATATCTCGATTTATTTGAGTTAGAGCGAGTTTTCTCTTCATCTGGGAATAAAAGAACCAGACGCCGGAGGAGGGAAGTTGGACCAATTTCAGGGACGGACCAGGTCTGGATTCTCAGAGTCTTAATCCAATGGACCGATTTCAGGGACGGACCCGGTCTGGATTCTCAGAGTCTTAATCCAATGCGCCTTATAGTCCAAAAAATACGGTAAGTTTGGGACTAACAGTCATCCTGAATATAGTGCTAACAGGTCATGCTAGATCTTGTATGTAATGTTGCACAAGATCAAGCAGAACACGTCCAGAGTTTGACCAAAATGGCTACAATCATTTCATGACTTTATTTAAAACTCTGGCTTGAAAGGCGGTGCTCGATGCATGTTCTCTCCAGGAATGCTTGGCCTTTCCTTTTTAAAGTAAATGTCTTTAGGCGACGCAGACGTTTTCCTGTTCAGTGCTCACAACAACTGCTGCCTGAACATGAAACCCATTTCTACAGAACAGCTGGAAATTACCAATTTGTATTTTGTTTTTTAAATACTAAAAATTGTATTGTGGTTAATACGATTCATTGAGAATATTCTGAGTTGTCTTTGTTAGGGGTAAAAGATTTGACCTATGATGTTCCAGTTACACCAGGATTGGTAGCGTTCTGTCTCAGTACTTTCTCACATTCTGACATTGGACAGATTTTACTCCTTGGATCGATCTCATCCATGGGATGTCAGCTTCACGTTTTTCTAATAAATTGTTTAAAAAAAAAAAAACGAGCCGAGTCTTCATGTCTCCCTTTTACTACAACAATGTTCAACAATCTCAAATACCAAACTGTTGCTTAAAAAAGTTTTGTGACAGAATAAGTTGTTCATTTTGACTTTTTAATTATTTTCCTCCAACCCTAAGCCAAAAAATATTTCCTCATGAAGTTCACACCCATAAGTCATTTACAGCTTTGAGTCCACAAGAATTTTATTCCTACAAAATAATAAAAAAGACAAAACGGATGCAGTGATGAAACGGAGTGCTTGAAACATGATTTTTTTGTCCATTTGGAAAAATACAGCTTTTGCATGGAAACGTTAAGTGTAACAAAAAAAAAAAACCCCAGAAAAAGACGATCTGCAGTGCAGAATGGTGAGTTCACAGATCAGCAGCTCAGCTCTGTCCTGACGTCAGACGCTTTTGGAATTATTTCAAAATAAAAGAAACAGTGATTCATTATTGCCCCTGTTTTAGTTTGATCTGACATTGCATAACTGAAGTTCTCCCTCCTCGTCTTCCAGTTGGGAGGTGTCCACGTGGTCTGCAGCTCCTCCAGGACAGGAACAGCCTCAGTAATGTCTCCTGCTTCCCTCTTTAGTCCACCTACATCCTGTCCTCCAGAGCCGTGAGTCTCTTCTCCAGCTCCTCCACCAGCTGATCCCGGCTGGAGTCCTTCTCGGTGAGCTCGCTCTGGGCTTCACTCAGAGCAGCTATATTGGAGCGCAGCTCCTCCAGGCTGCTCCTCTCTCCCTCTTGCTCATCTCCAACCAGTCTCTGTGCTGTCCCCTGAAGCGCCTCCTTCAGGGCAGAAATGGCCTGATCGTGGCCTTCCAACTGGGCTGCTTTGCTCTTCAGATCGTCAACGGTTATTTTTAGGTCTTCCAGCTCCTCGGGCCTCAAAGCAGCGAGCCTCCTCTCCATCTCCTCCACCCTGTGATTGTCCTTGGACGCTCCCTCGGAGTTATTGGACAGCAGCTCCTCCACAGTAGTCTTCATGGCCTCCAGCTCCTGCTTCAGATCAGTTTTGACTTTCTTCACGGTGTCCAGCTGTGCAGCTAAACTGCTTTCATGCGCGTCGTATCTGGCAAACAGAGACTCGACTTTGTTGCCGATGTCTGCTATCGACGCGGACAGCGAGCCTTCGCTCTCCTCCGATGCTTTAACGCTGGCTTCAAGATCTTCTGATTTTCTCTGAGCCTGAGCCGCAGCTACGTTTGCTTTCTCCTCCACAGCACGAAGAGCATCGGTAACCTGCTCCAAGCTGCTCTGGACCATCCCGTTTTGGTCTTTCAGCGTCTGGACTTCAGTTTCTGCTGCAGACAGGGACTGCTTCAGAGTCCCAGTGGTCTCCTGCACCAGCGACCTCACAGTTTGGACCTCCTGAGACAGAGAGGCCACTTCCTGGTTGCGAGTCTGCAGCTCCTCCCTCACGGCGCCTATCTGCTCCCTGAGGGAGTCAGCGGTTCTGTCCGTCTCCTGTTTGGTGGTTTTGATTTCCGCTACGGCGTCAACGATGGCAGACAGCTCCTGTTTGATAAGAGCGGGGTCTTCGACGACGCCCAGGCGGGATTTGAGATCAGCCAGTTGACTCTGCGCTTCGCCCTGAGACGCAGCGAACTCCGCCACGCTGGCTGAGATGGACCGACTCACCTCAGCCAAGCGCTCCTCCACAGTCGTCTCCAAGGAGGAGAAGTCTTTTTCCCGAGCCTCCTTCACCTCCTTGATGCCCTCTGAGAGGTCCCTGAGCAGATCGTTCTGGAGTTTCTGAAGCGCCTCCTCCACTTTCCTCGTCTCCACCTCGCCCCTCTTCATCCGGGTCACAGCCGCCTCCAGCTCCACCCGAGTGATGCCCAGGGACGACTCCAAACCGTCCACGTTGCTCCTCAGCGACTCTACCTGGATAAAACGGAGAAACAAGTGGTGTTAAAGTCAACGTTACTCCTTCTGTAGTACATCAAAAATAATGATCCTCTTCATGAAAAAACAGCTGTAATGTACAACCCCAATTACAAAAACATTGGAATACATAGGCCTGCCGCGATAAACGATAAATCAATTAATCGCATGATAAAAGAAAATTATCGACCTCATCGTTTCTTCGTGTTTCTCTTTCTACTGAAGACACTGGATGACAAAAGGTTCAACTCCGGTGCTCGTCACTGACCCCTCCCTTTCTCTTTTCTCGTTAAAATCTGTTTTAACTGTCTAAAATCACGTTTTTTGGATCGTTAAAAGCAGCTAAGCTAACAGGGGGAAACCTCCGTCTTGTCGAAGCTCCAAAATCCACGGTTGAAACCCGTGCCTTTGTGTAAAAAGTTTTTCTCTGCAAAAAGAAGCTTAGAACTTGTTTACTGATTTTTTTCCCCACCATTTTGAGAACAGAGTAAAGAAAAGAGAGACAGCCCATGTCACATCAAGGGGCCTCCCTCCCATTTTTCTTAAAGAGACACGCTGCTCACTCCTTCACTATCCATCCTTCGGTTCAAACAGTCTTATACTGCCATCCGGTGGTCAAAAAAAGGTACTACACACAAAAATTAAACATTTATTCTTAAACAATTAATAACTAAAACAATATCGTTTATCGCAATAATTTCTGAGACAATTAATCGCTCGGCAAATTTGTTATCGTGACGGGCTCAAAGATTAGCCATTTAAAACAAAAAGAAGCTTCTTTTGAAATTGATGGCAGCGACACATCTTAAATGTTTGAAAGAGCCATGTTCATCACAGTGAAGCTTCCTTCATCTATTAAATCTGTAGACGTTTAGGAACTGAGAGGATCAGCTGCTGGAGGTTTTGAAAAGTATAGTTGTCTCATTCTTGTCCGATGTCAGATTTTAGCTGTTCGACAGTCCTGGGTCTTTTGTTCTGGGTGTTGTTGTTTCACGATGCATCATTTCAGCACCCGTTCTCTTCAACTACAAAGCCATGTTGCTGTAATGAAGTTTGTGGTTTAGCATTGTTTTACTGAAATGTGCAAGGCAAGGCCTTCACTCAGGGCCAGCCCAAGCCTCCATGGGGCCCTAAGCGAAATTTGGTTTGGGGCCCTCTATTTCTTCTAATAATATGAATTACTGCAATCAACAGTCGGATCAGATCATTCACCCACTTAACATAAACTCGTTGCAACTCCAACAACCCTGTTCACATTATCCTACGCAGGGTTATGGCGGGCCGGATTTGGCCCACGGGCCTTGAGTTTGGCACATGCTATATAATATTATTTAAAAATATTATTGTAAAAATAAAAAAATAAAATCACTTTATAATGAAATTGTGTTACCAAAAAAAAAAAAAAAAAAAAAAATCCACTTAGGGGGCCCCCTAGTGACCTCAGGGCCCTAAGCAGCGGCTTCAGTTTGCTTATGCCGGCCCTGCTTTCCCTAAAAATAATGTCTGAATAGAAAAGATTTTAATATTTCTGGCATCATAACAGTTTTCCACTTTGCCTCCGTCCATATTCAAATGGTCTTCGAAAGGAAGTGTTCCTGGATGTTCACATTTAGCTTCTCTGCATGATACGAACTGCAGCGTTTACAGACATGCAGAATCAAGCCTGCTTTTAATGCAGTGCAGCCAGAGGGCCCAAATATCTCTGCTATCAGCTTTGTCCTTCGAGCACAAGATTTCTACAGATTATTGTAATCTTTTGATGTGTTGAGATGCAGATAAAAGTCAATTTCTTCCCATTATTTTGTTCAGGAACATTATTCTGAAATTGTTCCACATTTCACAAACTGGCAACCCAGTGGCCATCTTTACTTCTGAGAGATTCAGCCTCTGTAAAATCCTCTTTTAGTCATTTCTTCTATACTTTTTACAACCGTTTGTTGCCTCTGTCCTGTTTTTTTTATGTATTGCTGCCATCATGTTCCAAGATGATCTTTTTTAGGTAAATTTTCCATTTGATTAGTTTCTATGTTCCATTGTGAATGAAATATGGCTTTAGTAACTCTGGCAGAGGATGAGTCACTGTCAGCACTAATTATCATTCGTCAGTGAAGCTCAGACTGGAAGCGCCACATTTTGAATGCTATTTTAATTATTTCTGCACTGTGGGCCAAACATAATAGACTGTTGGGAGGAATGAGAAGGGGTGGAGAATACAGATGATTGCTTAAACTGTCACAGAACAAGATAATACAAAAAAAAAACATTTAGGTGAATTGTATTAAAATTAAAAAGGACTATTTTGCAAATGCATTGTAATATATTTTTTTTGGGTGAATTTTCAACTAAAAATGGAAGGTAGAGCAAATCAAAGCTCAAATTCAAGTGAAAATATTTGATTTTGTTTGTACTTTTTACACTATGAAGCTTTTAGCATCAATCATTCTTTACAGGTTTTAAGAAATTGTTCATTTAATATTCTGCGTTCCCCTTTCAACTAAAACAACTCTTCAGTGCCAACGTTTGGAAAGATTGATATATAATTTCAGTCATTTGGGATGATTCATTCTGATGGGTTGCCAGCTCCTACCTGTTGAACGACACCCTCCATCTTGGCGCCCAGCTCTGCGCTTCTCCGTGCGCCCTCCTCGTGCTTTGCGCCAATCTGACGGATTTCATCCACCGCCTGTTGAACGTAAAACGCCGCAAACCCCACAGCGCCAATCAGAGCCACATAAAACACCGTGCTCAGCAGAGGGCCCAGACAGCTACCTGATGTGGGGGCCTGGGGTCCGGGGCCACTCACCCCGTTTGCGCCACTTTTGGGGCTCTTCTTTTGCACGGCGCTGTTGTCCTGACTGGGCGCAGCGGAGTTCTTGTCGCTCTTTCGTCCCACTGCCATCTTTACTCTCTTGAGTGTGTGAGACAGAGCAGGTTCTGCAGTCGTGGATGGAGACGGTTCCCAGTCCGGGTCCAGCCCCGCTGACTGGTCCAGCAGCGTATCAGTGAGCGCGTCGTGTCTTTCCACGGAGCTGTTTTGCATGGAGACGTGCGGATGGGGGCTGTCCTAACCACTCTGCGTGGGTCAGGCACTGTGAAAGTTTTATTATCATTTTATTTGCATCATTGTTTTACAGCTCATTTTACTACAGCTCCATGTGGGACATTATCTTTATTACTTTAACCATTTCCATGAAGGTCAAGACCTTACAGGTGAAGAACAACTGTGATTTTTTAAATTCAAACAACTCCTGTACCGAAGTAAAACATGTTTAAAACTCACTAAAATGTTTGCGAGGGACATAAAATCGACGTCTCTTTACTGGTGCGAGTTTCTACTTGATGTAATGTGATGCAAAGTTGCAGGGAGGAGTCCCCTCCTTCCTCCTTGCTCCTCCTTGCTCCTCCTCTCATACGTGGCATGGTCTGCAATGACTCTGACAAGTCAAAGCTTCACCGTCACTCAAGTCTGTGGGCAAGCCCCAAACCTTTTGTACTGGTTTTGATCCCATACAGGTTAAAATTAATGTGATGAGACTGAGTTACATAAAAAAAAAAAATCTAGGTTTATCATTAACTTGAGCAGGAAGGCCCAGCCACCTCTTCCAGTTCCTCTGGGAGGATTCCAGGACATTCCCAGAACAGCCAAGAGACACAGTCTAATGTATCATCATGGGTCATGGTCTGTACCAGTACCAGATGCTGGAACCACCCTCAAGTGGCTTCTCTTGATAAGGAGGAGCAGCAGCAGCACTTCACGTTTCTCTCATATAATTGAACTTCTTCTATTTCTAAGGAAAAGTCATGCCACCCTGTGGAGAAAACTAATTTTGACCTCCTATATCCCTCTTTTTCCATCATGGCCTCTAGAAATGTGATATTCAAGAACAAACTTCCTGCCTAATGGAAGCACAAGTTATTAAAATAAATCAGGTCTTCTTACAAATTGTTTTTATCTTTGCAGATGATGTGGTCCTGCTGGCGTCATGGTGCCGTGATCTTCAGCTCTCACTGGAGCGGCAGCCGAGTGTGAAGCAGCTGGGATGAGAATCAGCACCTCCAAATCTGAGGCCATGATCCTCAATTGGAAAAGGGTGGATTGCTCTCTTCCGGTCGAGGGTGAGGTTCTGCCTCAAGTGGAGGAGTTCAAGTATCTCGGGGTTTTGTTCTCGAGTGAGGGAAGAATGCAGATTGGTGCAGCGTCTGCAGTATTGTGGACTTTGTGCCGGTCCATTTTGGTGAAGAGGGAGCTGAGCTGTAAGGCAAAGCTCTCTGTTTACCGGTCAGTACCCTCACCTATGGTCACAAACTCTGGGTAGTGACTGAAAGAATGAGATCACGGATACAGGCAGTTGAAATGAGTTTCCTCTGCAGGGTAGCTGGACTCTCCCTTAGAGAAAAAGGACACAAGTTGTAAAGAGAAACTAATGAGGGAGAAATTACAAAGAGACAATGAGGATCAAATGAGAGTTGGAGGGGCAGGAGCTGAACTACATGAGGGGACAATGAGAAAGCTGGAAACAGGAGTAAAATAAAAAAAAACATAATAACACAGAAACTAAATAAATACTAACAGACACTCACCATGACAGTTTTAACTTGACTTCTAAGCAATTTTGTAAAGTTGTAGTATTATAATATCACGTGATGAGGTTAGACACTATTGGATTATTTAAAAAAAAAGCCTTGCGACATAAGAATCATTAAGTTTTGCATTCTTTTAGATAAATATGAAAACATGAGTCAGTGCTAAATAATACTGGATCATTCTTGAACATGAAAGGACTGGAAAAAAGTCACAAAGAACATTTTTAGCATGAATTTTATACAAATAAATGGAGGGTCTTTTAAGTTTACTGTGTACATGTTTGTGATTAGCTGCCTAAAGAACATCACAGTAGATCTACTAGCTAAAAAGGTGAAAATGTTGAGATATTGTTCATACTGGGAAGAAATATTTATTTGAAGTAACTAAAATTCTTGACACAATCAAGGGTTTTCATGCTTTCCTGATAAATATAGACAAACGTGATCAAAAATGAGTAAAGATGGTTTCTTTAACATTTTAGGTGACATATAGGTGATACAGGTTTTAGTGTCAAACTAAACAAGAGTAAATGTGGAATCTGATTTACTCTCAAAGAATTCATGCTAAAAACGTTTAGCATACTTTTTTTTTTTTTACTGTCATTCCTTGATGCCATTTAGCATCCAATCAAACTTAGTCACACCTTTATCTTTGTCTGAAATAAATTTGCTGTATATTTAAGAAAGTACTTTATAAGTTAATGTGTTTGCATATAATATTGGCTATACCCTATCTATAGTAGGATGTTAATATATCTTGGCTTTTTGTTTCTGTCAAACAGTTCTGCTTTAAAGTGAATTAAATTTAAAAAGGAAGAGTTGTTATAATTTGAAGGGCATAGATATTTTTGTTAAACCCAAGTATAGAACCAATTTAAAGGGTCGGTCTACTACTATACAGGGAATGAGTCTGTAGAATGGTTTGGAAGATGATGCTAAAATGGTGAAGTCAATGTTTATATTTAAGAAAAAGATAAAAACTGTTTTGTTGGAACAATATATATATAACTGATTAATGGATTAATGTCTATTTTGTTAAGTATGAAATTTTGATGAGTTATGTATTTTGCTGTATTATATATGAATGTTTATGTTTAAATTGATGGTTTGAATTGATTTTGTTTATGAGGGAGCAGATATGATAAGAAATTTTCTTCTTCTGCTTCCTTTCATTTTATATATATATATTTTTTTTAATTTTTTGAAATTGTATTTGTGTTTTTATTGGAAATTAAATGAAATGAATAAATGAATAAATAAATAAAAAAATTCTCTTTCTGAAATTAAAGTGATCGCAATCAAATCAGTTCAGTAATACCATTTATTGCCGCTAGATGTCACTAAAGGGGCGTTATTTTTTGGGGTAAGAATCCCTCACTGATGACGCTTTAAGTATTTAACTCTGACCTATATTTGATTTAGGCAGAAAAATGTTTCTAAACTGAAAAGATAAACCAAAGTTGTGCCCAAACCTTTTTAAAAAAAAAAATCTTTTAGATTTATTTACAGCCATGACTTTCAGATACTCTCCATCTGCTGTAGGTCAAGAACAATGAGCCAGTTCAAAGTCTTGTTTTCGAGCAGCCCCTGAACGCAGCAGTAGTCTCCGCCCACACGCCGTGGCAGCAGACGTAGTCAAACAGCAGGTTGGCGGTTGTCCCTCAGACTCGCTGTTTCAGGTGTACGGTGTATGACACCGCGGAGGTCCGCTCAGGTGTTTTGGAGCCTCACCAGTGAACGAAGTGGCCTGACGCGGTATGCTTTGTTTTCAAGCCCGGCTGTCTCTGGGACGTCTGAAATGCCGTTGTTCGTCCGCCTCCGGCCTCCTTGCTTCTGTCAATAAAGCGGGAGCGCCGCTACAATGAAGAACACCGGGTCAAGAATTTGAGCCGCTGCTTGTTTGTAGCTCGAGCGGGGACGAAGCTAGCGGTTCGGCTAGCTCAGACAGCTCGCACACGGCGGCGGCTCGGATATCGGATTAGTTTGAGTCATGGCTGGGCTCATCAAGAAGCAGATCCTGAAGCATCTCTCCAGGTTAGTTCTCGTCAGGAACAGAGGGACTCAGCTGTCAGTGCTGGCTCTCACCGAAATGCTACTTTCATTTAGCTACGACATGGGTGGAGAAGTGAAGCTAACAAAAACACTAATGTAAACCCCTTTAACAGCTAACGAGTTAGCTTCATACATTAATCCCTCGAAACTTGCCTAAGCAAGTTCAACCAGTTGAGTTGTTGAGTCAGATAAAGCAACAATCTCAGCTTTTCCCTATAGGCAAATTAACAAATCTGATATACAGTATATTTAAACATAAATATGTTGATTTATAGGAGCATAAATTAGGTATTTAGACCCAATTTATCTGGGCATTACAGTAGACCTTACTTAATGGGAACCAACAGCTTAAAATGTCATCATAAATGCATTATACTATGTAGAAACATAGAATATGAAAAGCAAAGATATGTCTGAATTACATAGTTAAAGCAAAGTGATGTGTTGCATCATCTGTAAACACAAAGACTGACATTTAAAATAACCAAATGAGTCATAACACAACTGTGACATTAACCATTTATTAGTATTTTCTCCTTTTTTATTTGTACGTAAGAAGCATTTATTTTAAAATAGGTAGATTGCTCTCTTTGCACAGAATAGGATTCATATAATGTACTTTTTTTAAACGAAAACCCTAAAAGACTGTATAATCTAAAATATAAAATAAGTCTTCTGTGTACATATGACCAGTCCTTTTGTTCAGAAAACCAGCTGGAATAATTTATCACTGAAAATGCACATTTTTGCCCTCCACTTTATTGCATTTTAGGTATTTAGCATCACCATTTATCCTTGGATGTTTAAAGATATAAAAATATACAGGTTAAAAATCTAATTCTTAGGCTCAGTTTTGTTATAGATCATTTGACATGCTGCCGTGAGCAGCATTTAGCTCTGCACATGAATTATTTATTCTTTTCCACTGTCTCTCAGGGGACTTTCAGCGCTTCCGTGTTTTATTCTGAAGGATGACCTGAAAGCACACGACAAACATAATTTAAAACCATACATTAAAACATTTGCGGCTTCCGTTAACTCTTAAAATAGCAGAATGTGTCATATATATATAATAATATAGTGGAAAGGTTAGTGTTTTTAACTCGAAAGGTGGACTGAGCTTTGGTATAAGTGGTTCTATTTGAGTTATTTTTGAAAGTCTCTTCAACTGCTGCTGGACCAGTGTGCGTTTCTGAGAAACAAAGGACACAAATTCAATAATTTAATTTTTTTTGTTTTTCATACGCTTAAAGCAATAAACAGAATGTACCTCATCTGCAGCACACAGGCTGTGTGTTATGTCCTTCACTGTCCTAGTGCACGATAGTTGTGTGTGTTGATGAATAAGGGTTTTTCTACATGACTGTGTTTGCCCTCAGCAGCAGTAACGTAACTACTGACAAGAAATGACTTGAAGAGTCGTGACGTCGTCCAACTTTGAGCTTGTTTTTGACCAGTCTGACTGGTCTGTTAGTGAATGGAAGCTGACCGGTCCAACACCGGACCTGTCCTGCGCCGCTTTGTGTCATGATGTCACAGTTCCCGTGTCAGAATGGCCAAGCGGCATTACCTCACTTCACAGTGTGAATGAAGCTTCAGTGAGGTGACTGGACGCTGGTTTCTGCATCACGCTGCTCGCTCATCAGCATAATAGCTTGAACTCTTATAGCTTATTTATACACGCTGTGGGTGTGCTTACTCAGCTACAGATTATGTTGTAGGTGTCAACATTTCAGCTGAGCCTTGCTGCTTCTTTGAAACAGAGGACATCTTTCTTGTACAGACCGGGACAAGAGGAAGCAGCACATCTTTACATTCAAGCGACTGGAAGTCTGCAGCATCGTTTCTTCTCTGGTCTTACTGAAGTGTGTGTCATGTACAGCCAGCTGTGCGGGCCTTTTTGAACAATATGAACTCTGGGTAGCTTCAGGATGTGTTCACCTGTTGCGGATCAATGAAAGCGATTCACAGAAGGTCAAAGTCAGGTAGCCCCTGGGGGTGAGTTGACACAAAGTGTGTGTTTGTCTGTTGTTGAGACCGAGTTCAGTAATCGACACAAATCTGGCTCTTAGCCACAACGTTGCCACATACAAACGTAGATGGATGAAGAACAGAAACTCAACATCTGTCACTTTCTAAAGGAGACATTTCTACTTGGTTGTTTTTCACTGTGAGGTAAAAGGTTGAACACAACTACGGACAGAGCTGAAAAACAGGTGCTCCTGCAATGATTCAAAAATACTTTCTTCTCTCTACCCTCCTTTTCTTTCCTTGTATTGTTTTTCTCCATGTTTGTTTCTACCCCACTTCTCTTTTGACTGGTCTTTATGACTTGTTACACCCCCTTTCTGTTTCACTTTCTAATGTTTTGGTTCATTTTCATTCAGTTTTGACATTTTAACTTACAAATTAAAAATAAAAACCACACCTAAACTATAGAAAGGGAAACTTATCTGAGACAAAATTAGCAAATGTTTTACCACTTCTGCTTGACAAATGGCTGAAAGGAAATATCAGTTGCCAAACAGTGTAAATTATTTAACCAAGAGTTTGTCTTTAAGCGCTCCATTACAATTTAGTTTCTTCTGTTAGCTAGATAAATTGATCCTTTATTCATAATTTTTTTAAATGTTGCGTCAAAATTAGGGATGCACATTATTGGATTTTTGGCCGATATGCAATATGCCGATATGTTAAAACGTATTTGGCCGATAAACGATACCGATATTTTATATACTTTGTCAAAACATAGCCCTCTTATTTAGGCTTATTTGCTCCAAAAATTGTGTAAGAGCTGGTGACATATATTCAATAACAGCCATATGATATGCATAGCACTTTAATTAGGGATGCACCGATCACAGATCACTGATTTCTAAAAAGTCTGACCTGCCGATACCGATTTTGTTTTATAAGCAACACTGTCAGGAGTTGCAGTGTAAGGACCTTCAATTTTCCAATCTTATTTTATTAAAAAACATACCCTTGAACATGATCCTAGAAACAATACAAACTTGTTTTATTTAACTGGCCATGAGGTAGTGCTCTGAAATATAAATGAAGTTCAGACAATTGTTTTTAAAACAAACAAAACATCAGTAACATCGGTTTATCGTGTAAGTATTGGCCGATATTTGATTTCCCAAAATTAAGGAAATCGAGGCCGATAAATCAGCTGTCCGATTTATCGGTGTACCCCTAACTTTAACTTATATTAAATGAAAAGTGTTAAATGTTATTTCTTAGCATTAATCACCTGCGATGCTGTCTCACTTGTGGAGGCTTGTTCTAGGTTCTAGCTGCAGTGTGGGATCCTTTGCAGTCTTTGTGCATGAAGGACAGACTTTTTAAGTTCAAAGTTTTTGTCCATCCATTATGACGTAAGATTAATCATGCTAACGGGGCTAACGCATGACGTCCAAATGTCTGTGGTAAAACTCACTCATGCTATTAGCTTCTTATTGATGTTGGAAATGACGGCTTGTAACTCGGGTAAGGTTACGTCGGAAAAGTATCTCTGACTGGGGACCACGTAGCGAGGCTCAACGTAGTCCAAAAATCTTCGGAATCTGACATCCTCAATGAAAAAAAAAAATTCCACACCGCTGACATTTTGAATTTTTGAATCCGCCCTGAGATCAGGTAGGCACATGTGGCATCATCACGTTATGCTGGCGCTGCAGGCGTCCTCGTCACTGGGTGTCATACAAAAACAGCGTCTTTTACATCAGTGAGTTATTTTGATGGAATGGCCGACGTCTGATATTGAACTTTAACGCTAACATCGTCCGATACCGGTACCATGCCGATAATATTGTGCATCCCTATTCAAAATAATTGTAAAATTTTATTTGCTTTTTGCTTTTCAAAACAGGATTATATATTTAGAAACATATATTTGTTTTAAAATTGATTTTCGTGTAAATTCAATTCAATAAAAAAAAATACTTTATTAATCCCAAAGGGAAATTAAGTGTCGTAGCTCATCGTCCTGGTTTCATTCAAGAGTTGTTAGATGCTGATAGCTGTGGACAAGAAGGATCTCCTGCAGCGAATCAGAAGAATCTGGCCACAGATACCGATTTGTCCACCCGGATCCAACTTGCTATCAGATCCAGCGGGCTCTCGGTCCTCCTGGGAAGCAGGACTTCCTGAAATTTGGGCAGAATTCCTCCCTGAGTGATGGTCACTCCTCCCGGCAGTGTGCCAAGTTCCTCATCACCACGGACAGACACCTCAAGGTGCCGGGGGATAATCCCGGTCCTCTCATTGTCACGAGCCGAGTTTATCACCAGCTCCAGGATCTCGGCGGTCAGGTACTCGAGCGCCACTGCCAGGTTGACGGGAATTCATCCACGGCGCCTCCTTTTCAACTCATTTGGGATTTGGGGCTGGAGTTGAGGTATTTGAGCTTTTGAGATGTTAATCAGCTGCTCCTGGATGTTAAAAAAACCCCACCTTGTTGCAATGGTTACACATCATAACAAATGCCCCAAAGTAAAAAGATTTCAGTAAAAATCCTTCTAGATGCACAGCATCTGACACCAGAGTAAACAACCATCTGAAAAAAGTGATTTACATCCAGAAAAAAGAGGAATTAAAGTTTTCAAAAGCAATAACTCCGAATTAATGTAACAGAGCTACTCCAACATGCAGCCAACCCGAGCGGCGCAAATTATACCACGATTGTAAAGTTTATGGCCGTTTTATTGATCTATCAGGAGCACAGTTTGTATCCACATTGTATTTGTGTCCAGGAATCTCTGTCCATGAGCAGGCAGATGCACTAAACCAAAGTATTTCTGCACAAATCGAGTTCCTAAAAGTGTAACGCTTATCACTCGGCTTCTTACAGGAAGAATTCATGACTCATGGAATTAGGTTTGTAGTCAGGCTGATACACAAGAGCCTATAACATCCTGATAAGAAGCCCTATGAGGTATATGGATAGTTTCATTAAGATCTTTTAAATATTTTCTCAT